CGCTCCTACAGTTCATAATCCCCTGCTTTGGGGAAGGGGCTACCCACACTCAGGTGAGCCCTCCTCCTCAGATCACTACGGAAATGCCCATTGGCCAACACAATGAAGACACTCCTTCACGGAGCCCTTCTTCCCAGGCAGTGCTAGGCTGTCAAATCAGCAAAGCTGCCCATCAAGGGGAAGGGGTGTGTGTGCTGGGCGAGAGGGCTGCAAACCTGACCCACTGAGTCTCTAACTGCCACACTGAGCTTTCCCTGGTGTGAGAAGCTTCCTGGCCTCCCTCTCTAGGACTTATTTCATCTGTTTCTTTCTTCCCCAGAGCAGGAGACTCATAACCCCAGGCGCCAGACCAGTAGAAAAAAGAACCAGAGACCATGATCCTAAGGAGTTAACGCACAGGACTGAGGGGGACCAGAGTGGCAGAGGTCTCGATAGAGGATGGAGGTGGGGGTGGGGGGGTTCCACAGAAGAAAGTAAAACCTTCACAGCTGTGGTTCTCTGGTGTGGAATATTAGCTGGAGATGTGTCACACTTGGTATACTGAGGAATATTTGTTTAATGAAGCAAGGGTTGTGTTGTGTTCACGTTGGATTTGTTTAACTCAGTGAAGCTATGTTACTCTGCTGCCTAAAACACCTGATTGGAGCCAGGCGGTGGTGGCACATGCCTTTAATCCCAGTATTTGGTAGGCAGAGGCAGGAGGATCTTGGTGAGTTTGAGGCCTCAAATATAGAATGAGTTCCTGGACAGGCCCCAAAACTAAACAGAGAAACTCTCAAAAAAACAAAAAACCAAACCAAACCAAACCAACAACAACAAAAAACATCTAATTGGTCTAATAAAGAGCTGAATAGCTAGACAGGGCAGAGGACAGGTGGGGCTGACATGCAGAGAGAATAAATAGGAGGAGAAATCCAGGCTTGCTAAAAGGGAGGAGCAAGAAAAGGAGGGGAAAGGTAAAAATCCAGGGGCAAAAGCAAGACCTGATTTAAAAAAAAAAAGAAAAAAAGCTGGTTAGAAACAAGCCAAGCTAAGGTCAGACATTTATAATGTTTTCATGCATTTATTTGGGAGCTGGGTGGTGGCCCCCCTAAAGAGTAAAAAACAAACAAACAAAACAAAACAAAAAAAAAAACCCTAACAGTTCTCAGTTTGGGAGCCCTCAGGGCTCCAGGCCCTGTATAAGGACATTTTGGTCACCACACTGGGTTGCTAGTGGCACCTAGTGGCCAACATCTCTGGTGCACAGGCCAGACTCCCACACCGCACAGCAGGACTGTCTGGGATGCTCACAGTGCAGACACAGAAACCCTAGACATTCATGGGGACTGCAACACTGTGAGGAGTCCCCAAGTGGAAACCTGCCAAGGAGTTTGAGCACGCTGGCCTGGTTCACACCAAACATGGAGGTTCGTGAACAGTGCGGCAGCAGCGGACTGTGGGAGCAGGTGGGTGTGGTAGCTGTGACTAAAATAAGCCACCCACTGATGGCCCGGCGCCAGGCCCCTCCTCCGAACGTCAGGCATCCTGCTGCCGATGTCTGCCTCTGCGCCAGAGTGTAGGATACACCCAAAGCAAGGACATGCTCTTGTCTGGCTGCAGCTAGACCCCACTTCCTAGAAAGCCCTCCTTCTGTTTTTCTACGTTTGGACTGGGAATGGCTGCATTGTTTTTCCCAGTCACTAGTCAGCTCTGTAGTCAACTTCCTAACCCTGCTGGGATTTTAGTGTTATTTATAGGCTAAACATCTAATACTAGAGGTAAAAGAGAATGCAGTTTTAAGCTTGTTTTTCCCAAAACATCAGCCAGTTTTCTTTTTCTTGGTCTGAAAATACAAAGACAACTTGTGTGCATTGGTAACAAGGTCATCCTTTGCTTGTTTAGTGTGTTGTTATTTGTACTGTCACTATATTCTGACCCCCAAATTGTGGGTAATTTTATTGCTTTTAAAAGTATTTGTCTATTTATTTACTGAGGCCAAGCCTTGCAGTGCAGCCCAGGCTAACCTTGAACCCACAAGCCTCCTGCCTTACATCCCAGGCATGAGAGGATTGCATTTCCATAGCAGCTGAGGTCCATCTCCAAGGACCACTGAAACTAACTAACTGAAGCCAATCATTTGGGGGTAGCCTTATTGCTTGAAGCCCACCTTTTCACCATTTCCCTAACAAATGGTGAATGCAAGCCGCAAGACACTATTGCTTGTTTAATTTCTTTTAAATCGTTCTACCTATAGGTTGAATGATTTTACATTCTTTGAATCCTTTTGGGTATTTAGTACTGGGTGGTTTGTCAGAGGAGGTTACAGATTAACTTGTTAAAACCCTGGATAAGTCATCTTTGACAGGTACTGGTGAGGCTAAATCCTGTCCTTGTACCTTTTCTTCCTGCTCATCAGTTCTGATAATTTCCTCAACCATTTCAAATCGTTTTACCACCACCTTTTGTAAAGCCTGAAACTCTTGGCCTGTGTATACTTCTAGTGCTTTCACTGAGTCATGTAGCCTCTGGTCCTTATTCTGCTCATAAGATTCCAAGGTATGAAAATTTTCTAGTAAAGATAACATCTCATTCTTGAACATTATTTGGATAGCGTGCAGATTGCCTTCCTGAAGAGATACTCTATCTGTTAACTTATCACAACTTTTTAACAGATTTCGATTGTTAAATTCAACAGTATGAATTCTTTCAGATAATTTCTCAGCACCCTTTGACATGGATTGAAATTTGTATGTCAAATTAATGCTATCCTTTTCAATGGCATTAACTTTTTCAGGTAACTTTTGATTTAATTGTATAATCCTGGCAGCTGGCTGTTCATTATTAGTCTGTAAAGACTGTATCATTTCTAAAAGTGCCTCATTCTTGGCTCTGTTATCAAACCGTTTTCTTAAGGATATAATATGAAAAAGAAAACTAAGTTGTTTTCTTAAGGATATAACATGAAAAAGAAAACTAAGTCATTTTCTTAAGGATATAACATGAAAAAACAAAGCTAATTTTCAAAACCAAATAAATGGATGTATAAGAAAAAAAATCACATAAGCCTTTCAGAATACCTCCCATAGTATAAGCAAAATGGTTATTAAATTCCTGGATGGTGATATAGTCTGTCATTGTATAACTTTCAAATTTATTAATTTATTTATACTTAACTACATTGTGAGATTTCAGTAAATTATTGTAGGTATAATAATCTTTATTTTCCAGCAGGCATTGCGGTTGTGTGAATAGTCCTGCTCAGTTTACATATTGGTGACTGCTTTAATACTGACAAATATGCTTTTCTTGACAAATTAAGAACAATTATTAAAAGCAATTAAAGTGATTCTGTACATGGTTTTTGGTGGCCAAAATATCAAGGAACCCAAAACTTGCCAGTAGTCGTGGGCCACAAAGGGACCTGTGCGCAACCGGCAGATATGACATGGCAGAGATCGTGGTCCAACCACCGCGACACAGCAAGAATCAATGGTGGGAATAAATCCCAGGATGCTGGAGAGGTTGCAGCAGTGCACTGTGGGTGGGAGGCAATGGCAGGAAGTGATGAACTCATCCTGGTAGGTGCAGGCTTGTACCCATGTTGGGCAGCAGATGTAGGTGAACACTAATAAAGTAATCCCACAGTAGCTCAGAATTGAGTATAATAAGGGGTTCTTTATTTAGGGGTACTCACAGATCACAGTCTATTGCACAAGTAGGGAACAGGAATGGAATCCAGCAGCCAGGCAAGAGAGGAGAGAAAGCGGGCACACAAGGCAAGGCCACACCCAACCTGGCCCAGCCTCCCAAAGGCCATTGGCTGAAGGAGGTTCCCCGGCACATTATTGTCATGGAGCTTCATGGCAACATGCAGGCAGACATGGTGCTGGACCTGAGAGTCCTATATCTTGATATGTACACAACAGGAAGTGGCCTGAAACACAGGGTGTGGCTTGAGCATATATGAGACCTCAAAGGCCACCTCTACAGTGACACACTTCCTCCAACAAGACCACACCACTCCAAGAAGGACACACCTCCTAATAGTGGTACTCCCTTTGTGGGCCATTTTCTTTCAAACCAATGCACCACTGTTTACATGTTCCATAAATAAGTACATATAAAAAATTAAAAATTTAAAAAACTTTTCAGAAAGAAGAGATAATAAAAAGGGACTCACTGTGGCCCAGTAGGAAATTCAGCACCAAATTCTAATCTAAATGGTCAGGCAGTTATTAACGCGTGAATGTGAACAGCTGCTGTGTACTGTTCTGCCCAGAGATTTGAAAGCTAACCCTTTCTTTAAAATGTGCTTCTACGATGAAAGGAGACAGAGACAGAGACCCACATTGGAGCACAGGACTGAAATCTCAAGGTCCAAATCAGGAGCAGAAGGGGAGAGAGCACGAGCAAGGAACTCAGGACTGCGAGGGGTGCACCCACACACTTAGACAATGGGGATGTTCTACTGGGAACTCACCAAGACCAGCTGGCCTGGGTCTGGAAAAGCCTGGGATAAAACCAGACTCTCTGAACATAGCGGACAATGAGGACTACTGAGAACTCAAGAACAATGGCAATGGGTTTCTGATCCTACTGCACGCACTGGCTTTGTGGGAGCCTAGGCAGTTTGGATGCTCAACTTACTAGACCTGGATGGAGGTGGGGGTTCCTGGGACTTCCCACAGGACAGGGAACCCTGATTGCTTTTCGGGCTGAGGGGGGGGGACTTAATTGGGGGAGGGGGAGGGAAATGGGAGGCGGTGGCGGGGAAGAGACAGAAATCTTTAATAAATAAATAAATTAAAAAAAATAAAAAAATATTTAAAAGATTTAAACCATAAAAAAATAAAATAAAAATATTTAAGAGATTTAAACCATAAAAAAAAATGTGCTTCTACATTAGAAACTAGTGCACAACACCAAGGGAGAAAGTTTATTAAATTAGAAAAATCACAAACTAGTTATTAATGTAAAATATAATTTAATTTCACTCTTTTCATTATTTACCACAGAATTAAAAAAACAGTAATATATACAGACAAGAACAAGAGAGTTAGAAAGAGTTGGACATGGGGTAGAACTCATCATTCAAGAAGTTGGATGACAGCAGCTCCCCCAAGGTCAGAGGACACCCCAGCACTGACTGGCACCTCAGTCTCTACAGCTTGAACAGAACCTTCAAGACACCTCTGGCCCATGTGTCTCCCTCAGCTGCCAAAGACCACTGCCTTCCAAGCAGGGAGGGCGAAAGTGCCTCTCCCAGGCCTGAGGGGTAGGAATTAATCCAAAGAAAGCCCTCAGAGAAGGGAGAGAGTAGCCCTCAGTTCTGTTCTACACCAGGCAAACCACGAGGTAGTCAGCTCTCTACCTGGCCTGATGCAGCCCCAGGGACACAGGAGGTTCATAACCCCGTGCTGAGCCCAGAGACCCTGCAGCCTGCGATGCAGTTATTATTGCTTCTGATCTCAGTGAGACACAGAAGCATTACATAACTCAGACCAGCCTCAAACTAACAGTGATTCTCCTGCCTCAACCTCGTGAATACTGGGATTGTAGGTGTGACTTTTTCAGCGGGGACACTACAAACAACTTCCTCCTCCTCACTCCACCGGTTCCTGGTTCTTCTGCATTTCCTGCTGTCTTTGTCTCTCAATAAATTTATGTATTTATTGACCATATGGCATCAATATTGAACCCACATTTTATGTAGCTTGAGGCTATCTTCACGTAATAAAATCCATGGAACTTCAAATTCTCACTCTGTAGCCCAGGTTCGCCCAGATTTTTCAGCCATCTTCTTGACTTGGCTCCTAAGGACTGGGGTAACAAGAGTGGATTACCGCATCCCTCAACCTTTGGTCCATTTTCATAACATCCACCGAGCAAAATACCCTAGCGTGGTGCTGTCCAGTAGACACACACACTCACCACCTTAAAAAGATAAAACAGCAGGGTATACGGGTGCAATCCCAGCACTTAGGAGACCAAGCCAAAACTGTGAGTTTCAGTCAAAAATAACATAAAAGTAAAAAGATATAAGTACAATTAATTTTAATTTTTTTTGTCTTAACTGCATATATTCCAAATAGCATTGAAATAGTGAATGCAAGCTCGTTAGTGCCCAGCCTTGAAAGAGGTAAGATTTCTTTAGTGGCTTGGCTGCTTTGCTTTTCTGGTTTCTGGGTTTAACCCCAGTATCTGTCTCTGGATTTTTATTATTCGAGCTACATCCTTATGGACCCATCACGGCAAAAGGGCATACTAGGAACACTGGCAAGCTGGTGACACTTGTCCCTTGCAGATCTGAGGAAAGTTCTGCTCTGTCAGGTACAGCGGGAATAACAAAAGGACTCTAGGGTGAGGGGCTCAGCGAGCAGTTCGCTGGTAAGATAAACCACCAAAGAAAAGCTAAAAAGTGAGTCTGGGCCTGCGTTAGAGCCCGAGGGTGTCCCGGCTCTTCCCAGCCTGTCTGACTTGCCTCTGAAGAGCACAAAAGGGTCTAAGTGAGCGCGGCAAAGACAGTCCAACACAAGGTGATAAATACCACCACTAGGGCGAGAGAGGGCTCAGTGGTTAAGAGCTTTCGCTGTCTACAGAGGACCCACATGGCAGCTCACAAATGTGCGCAATTCCAGTTCCGGGGGATCTGACGCCCTCTTCTGGCCTCCACGGGCACTGCATGTAAGTGGTACACAGACATGCAGGCAAAACACCCATACACAAAATAAGATAAAGTGGACAATATTCTATATATTTCTGTCAGCACTTTTATGCACAAAACTTGTGAGCACTTTTTTTTTCCAGATCATTCTCATGACCAAAAGGCAAAAGTCAATTTTGGAGCAAGAATCCATATTCTACCTGGAATGTTTCACCCTAGACAGCTGTCCTAGCCTGAATTTCAATTTGGGGCTTAATTCAATGCCCCAATGTTATCAAATAAGTTAAAATAGTTCTATTTAGTTATTTATCCATTCATTTGACTTGTTATTAGAAGATTTAATTAAACACCAATTCTTCTATTCTAAAAAAAATAAGATAAAGTGATTCTTCAGGAAAGCGAATAGATAGCCATTTAAATAATCTTTTCTTTTTATTTATTTTAAAGACAGGGTTTCATGGATCCCAGTCTGACCTTGAACTTCTGACCCTCCTGTCTAACTTCTGAGTGCTGGGATTTACAGTGGGCATCACCACACCTGGTTCACAGTGCTAGGAGCTGAACCCAAGGTTTCCTGCATGCTGGCAAGCACTTTACCCACTGGGCTGCATTGCTAGGCCAGAGTTTCAAATCATCTTAATTCTTACACTCCACTTGAACCATCTCTGGGTTAATCACTGTCTTAAAATGCCTTCTAAAATTTAAATTATTACTAGAATGTTGGCTTTTAAGCGGTTTTCATTGCCTCATGATTTAAAGGACTGTATTTAAGTTAGGAATTGTGATGTTTGGTTTTAATCCCAACACTTGGGAAGCAGTGACAGGTAGATCTCTATAATATCGATATGGGGCCAGCCTGGTCTACACAGTAAGTTCCAGACCAGCCTGGGCTACACAGATCCTCTCTCAACAAACAAAATCATACAACAAAACAATAACAAATAACTATATTTGCCAGTTGCTTCATTCCTTTGGCTGCAGGCAGTGATAACTAACCAATTACCTAGCAGGTTACAGCTGTCTCTAAAGTCAGCTCGGTCACCAGGGGACTAGTGAGTCCTTTGCTACCACAAATGCAACTGGATTATATACATTAAACATTAACAACCTATGGATTTAAGGCAGGACCTCCCACGGGTCATTTAATCTGCCTGGGCCTGTTTTATCCTCCACGCCGAATCTGTCGCTAAGCCAGCTTCAACAGCGGAAACCAGCAGGACAGCTCTAGCTACAGTGAAAACCCTTAGTGGTCATATTGTCTGCTGGCAAGATTCATAGCCAGGGTCAAGGGCTCAGGGTCCATCTTCTTCTGTCAACAAGGCTGGGATGGAAGTCCTCTCCCTTGAAGTCCATCGTAACGTGCACAAGTTGGCCTCAACATCCTAGCAATCCTCGCCAAGTTCCACACAGGCTGTGCACAGTGGTCATCATCAGCACGACCTCATAAGCTGCTCAGCCTCTTTAAATGCTCAAGAGCTCGCCATATCCTAGAAGCACCAAGCTCTTTCATCAGTTAGGGAAAGGCTCAAGGTGCGGGAATATGTCACAGCACACAAGCCTATGTTCTCAGTCTCTTAGGCGATAGACAAGGAAAATGTCAATATGTTAATACTCAAAAACAAAACTATACAAAAAAAAAAGAAGCAAAGTAAAGCCCAAACAATATGGTTGGCAGCATTTTTTTTTTGGTCAGAACGTTTTAGCAAAAATATGGCAGCCTGATCCCAGGCTAGTTCACTGAATAAAGAGAATTGGATGAACTTGACTGTTTCGCTGTGGAGGAAAACATCTTGTTCTCCCACAACCGTGTGAGAGTAAGGTTTAGATGTATAAAAATCGATAGACGATTAATAAAAGATAAAGACACAGTGCTGGAGAACAGCGTGATCTGTAGATGGGACACTCCGCAGGGATCCTCCCTTGAGTTCACTGTCTCCTGTGGATCAAGCGCTAGAGGATCCACTGGACATCGCCAAAGTCCCCAGGGTCACCCAGACCCGCCTCTGCTTCCAGGTAATTCATGAACGCAGACATGGCCCTGTCATCGTTGTCACTCAGGGCATCCACATGCAGCTGGGCACCATCACCTGGAAGGTAAAACACAGGCTACGTAAGCCCGGGGAGCCGTGAAGGAAGCCGTGTGTGACAATTACTGTAGGCAGAGTCTGGAGAAACGGCTGAAGGGCACTGGCTGCTCTCGCAGAGGCTGCACATGGCGGCTCACAAACATCTGTAACTCCAGTTCCTGGGGATCCAGCAACGCTTCTGGTCTCCGTGGACACTAGACAGGCCTGTGTGCACAGACATTCATGCAGGCCCATCTCTCATATACGATTAAATGAATTAAAAATAAAATAGTCAAAGTCAAGAACAGGAATGTCAATAGCAAGGGCTGAGGTTCTCTTGGTGAAGGGCTTGCCTAGCACACATGCAGCCCTGGTTTGACACCCGGCACTGTATAAATCAGGCGTGGGCGTGCACACCTGTAATCCCAGCATGAGGCAGGAGGACAAGAAGATCAAGGTGACCCTTAGCTACATACGTATTTGAGCCCAATCTGAGATACAAGAGGTCCCGGGTGATGCTTACCTTTAAAATTGTCAACTAGTTACAATCTAGAACCTAGGAGTAGCCTCTGTCTGTCTGGACCTGCGGGAAGGCCGTGGGGACCTGTGGGAAGGCCTGTGAAGACTTTAAAAGGAGCCACCCTGACTGAGGTGGGTTACCATTTCATGGACTGGATTGAAATTGTGTATGCGTGGAAAAGCAAGCTGAGGAAGTGAGCACACAACAATTTCTCTTGGCTCCTGACTGTAGATTTGGCTGAAGACTTCAAGCTCTTGCCTTGTCTTGTCCCACAGTGACAGACATGACCTGGGACTGTGAACTAAAATAGACCCCTTTCTCCTAAGTTGCTTCCTGCTAGGGTGTCTTATCACTGTGGCAGGAATGACATTAGATAAAGCCAGCAGGGGCCACCCGGTACAATTTGGGAAGGAGAAATACATGTCTTAAATTGAAGAGCTGGATATATTTTATATTATTTTATTTCACGTGTGTGGGTGTTTTGTCCACATGTATGTGTGTGCGCCATGTGCGGTCAGTGCCAGACGAGCTGCTGTGCAGGTGCTGGGAACTGAGCTTGGGTCCTGGGCAAGAGCAGCCAGTGTTCCTGACCACCGAGCCGTCTCTCCAGTGTTCCTGACCACCGAGCCATCTCTCCAGTGCCCCCGACCACTGAGCCGTCTCTCCAATGCTCCTGACCACCAAGCCATCTCTCCAGTGCCCCCGACCACTGAGCCGTCTCTCCAGTGTTCCTGACCACTGAGCCGTCTCTCCAGTGCTCCTGACCACTGAGCCATCTCTCCAGTGCCCCTGACCACTGAGCCGTCTCTCCAGTGCCCCTGACCACCATCTCTCCAGTGCCCCTGACCACCGAGCCATCTCTCCAATGCTCCTGACCACCGAGCCATCTCTCCAGTGCCCCCGACCACCGAGCCGTCTCTCCAGTGTTCCTGACCACCGAGCCGTCTCTCCAGTGTTCCTGACCACTGAGCCATCTCTCCAGTGCCCTGACCACCGAGCCATCTCTCCAGTGTTCCTGACCACCGAGCCATCTCTCCAATGCTCCTGACCACCGAGCCATCTCTCCAGTGTTCCTGACCACCGAGCCGTCTCTCCAGTGCCCTGACCACCGAGCCGTCTCTCCAGTGTTCCTGACCACCGAGTCATCTCTCCAGTGCCCCCGACCACCGAGCCATCTCTCCAGTGCCCTTGACCACCGAGCCATCTCTCCAGTGCCCCGACCACCGAGCCGTCTCTCCGGTGCCCCAACCACCAAGCCATCTCTCCAGTGTTCCTGACCACCGAGCCATCTCTCCAGTGCTCCTGACCACGGAGCCATCTCTCCGGTGCCCCAACCACCAAGCCATCTTTCCAGTGCCCCCGACCACCGAGCCATCTCTCCAGTGTTCCTGACCACCGAGCCATCTCTCCAATGCTCCTGACCACGGAGCCATCTCTCCGGTGCCCCAACCACTAAGCCATCTCTCCAGTGCTCCTGATCACCGAGCCATCTCTCCGGTGCCCTGACGTGTTTCTAGATGAGCTGGACCTGTGCATTCTGTAGAAGATATTCACACTGCTAGGTGAGGGCACACACTCCCAGGCTGTGGGGTGTTAGAGACTGCGTATCCAGACACCCAGAAGATATTTGATTCATCTACACTATAAGCAAAGTTCTACTTGTTTATTGCTAAAATCAGAGGCTGTTGAGAAAGCCCCACATCCCAGAACACTGACAAACATTTTCATGAGAGAAGTCGGGGATTGGAAAAGAAAATGAGGATGGGGCTGAGGTGAGATCTAAGTTTGAGATGCGGCAAGGTTCTGAACAACAGAGACTAAAAGACTAGAGAGTAGTGCAAGTTTTCCGGGTGTTTTCAAAGTCGGCAGAACCTGAGAGGAGTGGGCAGCAGTGTCAGCAGGAGGTGTGAACCGAGCTTCTGCATTCGGGGCAGTAGTACCGTCAGGAAGTGTGAACTGAGCTTCTGCATTTGGGGCAGCAGTGCCGTCAGGAAGTGTGAACTGAGCTTCTGCATTTGGGGCAGCAGTGCTGTCAGGAAGTGTGAACTGAGCTTCTGCATTTGGGGCAGCAGTGCTGTCAGGAGGTGTGAACTGAGCTTCTGCATTTGGGGCAGCAGTGCTGTCAGGAGGTGTGAACTGAGCTTCTGCATTTGGGGCAGTAGTACCGTCAGGAGGTGTGAACTGAGCTTCTGCATTCGGGGCAGCAGTGCCAGCAGGAGGTGTGAACCGAGCTTCTGCATTTGCATGGTTTGAATCTTGCATGAACATCTTAAAGTGAGTGGTTAAATCTTACACTTTATGTATTTTATACACTTGAGTGTTTTGCCCACATGTATATATGAGCATTATGTGCATGCCTAGTGACTGAGAAGGCCAGAAGAGGGGTTTCGATTCCCCTGAAACTGGAATTAGATGATTATGGGCCACCATGTAGGTGCTGGGATGGAACCAGGTCCTCTGCAAAAGCAATAAGTGTTCTTAACCATTGAGCCGCCTCTCCAAGGCCCCCTACCCTTTTATTTTATTTTACTTTTTAGCACGAGTATTTTTAAATTTCTTGATAATTCTTGAGCATGGACTTTTTTTCCTAGATGGAAATGCTCTTAAGTTGCAGCCAAGGCCTAAACTGGCTCAGCTGATAACTGGGTCCTTCATGAGAGGTTCAGTGAATGACAAACATCTTACTATCAAGAATAGCGGACTGGAGCTGCAGAGAGTGCTCAACCATTAAGAGCAATGGCTGCTTTTCCAGACGACCCTTGTTTGATTCCCGGCACCTACATGTCAGCTCACAACCTGTAACTCCAGCCTAGGGGAGACAACACTCTTTCTGAGGGGACTGAATGCATGTGGGGCTCAGACATGCACGCATGCAAGGCAAAACATGTACACATAATATAAAATTAAATAAATCTTTAAAAAAATAATACCTGCTGATTACGAAGGTATTAGGTATTAGGATTCCGAGTGGGGGGATCTTGCGGATATTTCTGACGGGGCGGAGCTTTCTTTCTACGTAGCCCTGGCTGGCCTAGTACTCACTATGTAGCCCAAGACGGTATTGAATTCACAGGAATCCTCTGCCCCAGCCACCCATGTTTTGGGATTAATAGGTATGTGCCACCATGCCTGGTGGAAAAAAAATGTTATTTTATAAAGCATTCGTTTTTTTCAAAAATCTCCTGTGTCTAAGACTACGGTGACAAAGAGGAGGCTTGGGAAAGTTCATACGGTGACGGGTGACAGGGACAACTTACTGAGGAGTGGCCTGTGACTGTGGGCAGCTTCAGGGCTCTTGTGTTGCCCGGCAGCGTCCAGGGTCCCAGTTCCAGGACTCGGCGTGGACACCTGGAAAGACAGGACAGGGGCGGTCAGCAAGCCTTGAGCACAGCGAGGACCTCTGGGCGGCTTCGGAGTGGGTCAGCACCAGAACCTCCTGCAGCGGTTCACGAGTACCCACCCCACGCTGTACGTCCTGCCCTGCACACACCGCATCTTCCATAGCGGAAGCTTAAAGAGCCTATCCCTACCGTCAGCCGCTCCCTGTCGCCACGAGATTCCAAACTAAGGCACCTACGGCAAAGCTGAGGTCCTTTTATGGGATGCATGTATGCGCATGTGTGTATGTGTGCATGCGTGTATGTGTGCATGTGTGTATGTGTGCATGCGTGTACACGTACATGTTTGCACAGCTATGCACATGCGGAGGCTGAAAGATTTTATTACAATGGTTTATATGTTCATTTCTGTAAGATCACTTTATTTGCTAAACGTGTGAATAAGTGAATAACTTAATAGGAAGACCAGCTATATTTCATACAAGTATTATGTGATGTTTGTGCTTTCGGGCCCTTGGTCCCCGGTCACACATGGCCGTCATTCCGTATTCTCAGGGCACAGAGCTGACTCATGGAATGTCTCAGTGCCACACCAGGACTTCCAGAAAGCACGAGGTTTAGCGTCCCCAGTTACAGGGATCAAACCCAGGCCTTTCCATACGCCAGGCGAGGGCTCTCCACTAAGCTATATATCCATCCTTCAAGTCTTTTTAATCTTTAAACCTTTTTATTTTGAGACAGGGCCTAAGTTGTCTAAGCTGGCTTTGAAGTCACTCTTCATTCCAGCTCTCGAGTTGCTGGAAGACGGGTGTGTACAACCAGCCCAGGGGCGTGCAACACGCATTTCCTTTAGCTGGAGTATGTCGGTGTTTGTAGAGTCTGTAGCAATCATAACAGCTATTATCCACTGAGCACCTAGGAGGAGCGCAAAGAGTGTTTGGTTTTGTCTGGCATCGTGGCACACGCCTGTAATCCCAGCACTTGGGAGGTGGAGGTAGGAAAATCAGGAGTTCAAAGTCAACTTCAGCTACACAGTGAGTTTGGGGTCAGCCTGGGCTACATGGGATGCTGTCTCAAAAAGTGTTTTTGGTTTATATTTCATCCCTTAATTCTCATATTCATCTAGGGGGGATGTTATTATCATACCTGCCCCACAAGTGAGGAAACTGAGGCAGAGTTCAAATTCTGAACCCAACCTTCCAAAGGTATCTGAGTCACAACCTGGGACCCTTCTGTGTCCTTCTAACTATGCCTCCTGTAACCACCAACCTGTACTGCACCCTCAGGCCACCAAGTCAGCAGAAATTCCATTTATTTTAATGGGGTGGTCTCTTTCTCACAATGAACACTTACACCACTCACGGGCACACTGGCGTTCCTGCAGTTCACACTGAGGCGATCTCTAGCTCTTTCTGAAGGATCTGAATCTTCTGGGGATGAGGAGTATAACCTGAGAAGGGAGACAACAGAAGTTTATCCCTCTGATGGGATTTTAGAGGGAGCCTTTCTCCCCTGAGTGCTTCTTTACACAAGCGACCGACAGATAAACGACAGCAAGGAACTCCAGACTGAATACCCACGCCTTCATAGCCAGATTTAATTTTGACTCTGGAGTGCTGAAGCTACCCAAGGAAGGAGGAATAGGACACAGGAGGGGGCTGGGGCCGTGGGAGAGCAGATCGGGAGTGGGAGGGTTAAATGAAGGACCCTCGGGGAAGCGTGGTGATGGCACAGCACAGTACTGAGTGATGCTGATGCTAAGCTGTGCATTTTAAGATTTTGTTTATATTTAGGTATGTGTATGCGTGTATGCACATGTGTGTGCAAGTGCCTGCAGAGACCCGAAGAGGGTGCTAGATTTCCTGGAACTGGAGTTACTGCTGCTTGTGAGCTGCCTGGTGTGGGTGGGGGAACTGAATTCGGGTCCTCCAGATGATCACCAACCACCCTAACCAGCGAGCTGCGGCTCCAGCTCAGTGTATATTAAGATAGCAAACGCTCGAGAAAGGCAGGCAAGTGAGATGAGCAAGTGGATGTAGGCTGCGGCCTCAGGCTTGACGACCTGAGCTTGATCCTGGGACTCCAGGAGAACTGACTTCCTCAAGGAGCCCTCTGACCCCGACACAGGCTGTGGCGTGCACTCACCCACAAAGGCACATACACAAAAATAAGTAAACAGATGTCATTTTTTAAAAAGTAAGACACATAAGCAGATCCACTATTATCTAGATCCCTGGTTCACACCTTCAACAGGAGGAAATATAGACCTTGAAATTGAGGCTAAGATGCCAAACAAGTAAGGTGTGGGCTCACATGTGAAGTAATAAGGGCAGCGGCGAGGCTGCGTCCCCAACACCCCAGCCGCCTGCCTGGCTAGCTTATGCCCCGAAATAATTACACGGACACTGTATTCTTTTAAACACTGCTTGGCCCATTCTCTTCTAGGCTAATTCTCACATATTAATTTAGCCCATCTCTAATCATCTGTGTATGGCACCCCAAGGTGCGCTTACCAGGAAGATTCTAGCCTAGTCCATCCTGGGTCGGAGCTTCATCCCAGGAGCGGGGCATGGCGTCTCTCTCTGAGGCGTCTGCTCCCGAGAGAGCTGTGGAGTCTCTGACCTCACTTCCTCTTCCTCCCAGTGTTCTGTCCTGTTTACTCCTCCCACCTATCCTCTAACCAATAAAATGGGCCAGGGCAGTGCCTTTATTAGCCAATGACCTTCCTCCATCACACATGCACTATCCTTTTTTCCCTATTCTGTATGTATGTATGTATGTATGTATGTATATTGTGTGTATGAGTGGTTCCCTTGTATGTATTCCCTTGCATGCCTGTGCACCACGGGCATGTGTGGTGACTTTGGAGCCCAGAAGAGGGCATCAGATACCCCAGGGCTGGAGGTATAAATGGCTGTGAGCTGCCATGTGAGTCCTGGGAATTGAACTTGCCCCCTCCCCTGCGCTAACTGCTGAGCCCTCACTCCTGCCCCTGCCATACGCTGCAGCACATTCTACTATATGGACACACCGGAGGGAATTGCTTAGCTGTTTAAGGTCCCACTTCAGAGCGCAGCCATCAACAGTCTTATTCTTTCGCTGAGACAGCTTGTTCTGAGCCTCAGATTAAACTTGCTTTTTATTGAGACAAGTTCTCAACAACGTAGCACTGGCTAGCCTAGAACTCACTATGTAGACCAGGCCACCTTTGAACTCATAGATCTCCTCTTGCCTCTATTTCTCAAGTGCTGGGATTATAGGCTTGTACCACTATGCCACACCTGAATACATTTTGTTTTAAAGATAAGGTCTCTGCATGCAGCACAGGCTGGCCCCAAACTCAGAAGGATCAACTTGCCGAGTGCACAGCCACACCTGGTTTATACTTATATTTGTAATGCATTTTGTCTAATTTCCATCCGAAGTTATTTCAGTAATTTATACTTTATAAAGAATTAGGGACTTTTTTCATACTCTCCCCAATATAGAAGATTACCAAACTTTCAAATCTTGGATAATCTAAGTGAAAAAGTGCTAACCCACTGCTTCATTATGTACATATTTAAATATGAGTGGAAATGAATAATTTTAAAGTTTCTTGGTGATTTCTCTTGCATTTTTCTTTCATGCCCACTATTTAGCCTCAATACAATTTGGCTATTCTAAGACATTGTTTTATTTTATTTATTTTAAGATTATGAGTGTTTGCCTGCATATGTGCAGCACAGATGTGCAGAGCCCTTGGCAGCCAGAAGAGGGAGCTGGATCTCCTAGAACTGGAGTTACACACCTTTGTGAGCCTTTAAGTGGATGCTGGGAACGGAACAGGGTTTTCCCACAAGGGCAGTAAGTGCTCCTAACTGCTGAGCCATCTCTCCAGTCACCTACAAAATTATTGAATAGCTCACCTTTATGCTATACATTAAGTTTAACATATAACTATATAAAACTTACATATTTAATATATTTATGGTATACAATATTTATAAGTTAAAGTTAGTCTATTTTATCATACAAAATACACACATTTTCCAGTTTATGTTTTCAACCTTATTGTAATGGTATAGTTTATGCTTCAATTTCGAACTTTTATGCAATTAAAGTTATCAATTCCTTCTTCCTGAATTCTGTATTTGGTATGATGTTCAGAAACAATCTGACAAATTAAGATTATAAAAGTCCTTATTTGGGTGGGTCCCAGCTGCTTGTGGCTCCAGTTCCAGGGGATCTGATGCTTCTGACCTCCGTAGGTACGGCATCCATATGCACATACCCACCCACCCTCTGTCCTACCCTCCCGAATGCTTACACACACACACACACACAAGCACTCACACACTCACACTCTCTCTCACACACACACATGAACAATCTGTGTGCCGGTTAGTGACTAAGGCAGCCATTTATACAAGAATATTTGCAGTGATAATACTTCACCTCTGTAAACGCAGAACCTCGTTTGCAATGTCTGTCCCCGTGGGTATTCCAGGCACACAGACACAGGACTGTCTAAACGAGTCTAGGCAACAGCACAGGAGAAAACACAATCAAGGATGTTAAGGAGCACACAGCCCAAGTCAGTGGCTTTCTTTCTATTGAAATAGCTTCTTGGTTTCTCCTGAAAAGAAACAGTTGAGCCACCCCTTAAAACGCCAGGAAACATCTAACCTTTCATTACACAGTTCCCAATGCTAGAGACACTGTGGGTTGTGGTTATAGACAGTGTAGTCCAAGGGCACAGTCACCACCCACGCCCTTCAGCATGGCCTTTTCCCCTTTGACCTTTCACCTTTACAGCAGAGCCAGGCGATGCCACTTTACAGTTCATAGTTCCTTTTGTGCTGTTTTTATTTTATTTATTTTCTGTGTATGAGTGTTTGCTTGCATGCACAAGGGTGCATACAATGCACGCAGTGTCGTGGACGCCAGGAGTTACAGGGAGGTGTGAGCTACCAGCATGAGACCCAAACCCAGGTCCTCTACAACTCACTCTGTAGACCAGGCTGGCCTTGAACTCAGAGACCTGCCTGCCTCTGCCTCCTGGAGTTTTTGTTTAGTTTTGTTGTTTAATCAGGTCTTAAGTACCTGAGAGAGGTAACTCCTAATCTTCCTGACTCTGCCCCCCAAGTGCTGGGATTACATGTATGTGCTATCACCATATCCAGATACTTAAACAAATATTTTGCATAAAATACAGGAGTACAGCCCCGTGGATAAAAAAAGAGAGGGAGATTCAAAACACACCCTTCATGATTGTCTCTCATTGTCTACTGGTGTGCAATGAGCACAGTAGACAGGGAGGAACGCATTTGTGTAGTGGTGTGTAACACACTCAGTAGACAGAGAGGAACGCATTTGTGTAGTGGTGTGTAACACACTCAGTAGACAGGGAGGAACGCATTTGTGTAGTGGTGTGTAACACACTCAGTAGACAGGGAGGAACACATTTGTGTAGTGGTGTGTAACACACTCAGTAGATAGGGAGGAACGCATTTGTGTAGTGGTGTGTAACACACTCAGTAGATAGGGAGGAACGCATTTGTCTAGTGGTGTGTAACACACTCAGTAGACAGGGAGGAATGCATTTGTCTAGTGGTGTGTAACACACTCAGTAGACAGGGAGGAACGCATTTGTGTAGTGGTGTGTAACACACTCAGTAGACAGGGAGGAACGCATTTGTGTAGTGGTGTGTAACACACTCAGTAGACAGGGAGGAACGCATTTGTGTAGTGGTGTGTAACACACTCAGTAGACAGGGAGGAACACATTTGTGTAGTGGTGTGTAACACACTCAGTAGACAGGGAGGAACACATTTGTGTAGTGGTGTGTAACACACATAGTAGATAGGGAGGAATGCATTTGTGTAGTGGTGTGTAACACACTCAGTAGATAGGGAGGAACGCATTTGTGTAGTGGTGTGTAACACACATAGTAGATAGGGAGGAATGCATTTGTGTAGTGGTGTGTAACACACTCAGTAGATAGGGAGGAACACATTTGTCTAGTGGTGTGTAACACACAGTAGTCAGGGAAGAATACTGGCTGCAGGGAGATCACGTGAAAACACCAGGCCTGCTTGTGAGGAACTCCATCCAGCAGGAAACCAGTCACGTGGGCAACTGCTTATGTGTGGTGCCATGCTACACTCTAGTGGAGGTGTGTGCATATGTATGTGTGTGTGGTGATTGTGTACATGTGTATAATGTATGTGTGCATGTGTGTTTGATGTGTATGTGTATGATGGTGTATATGTGTATGTGTGTGTATGATGCATGTATGTGGTGGTGGAGTTCAGAGGACAACACTGTGGTGTTCGTCCTCTCCTTCCCCTTTGTGTGCGTTTTGGGAGCTGAACTCAGGTCATTATGTGTGCATGACAAATGCTGGACTCGCCGAGTCACCTTTGCTGCCTTGGCCTCCTTCTATAACAAATGTCTGTCCAGTCGGAACGTCTTCCACCCTCCCCTGGACAGACAACCGCACCTTCATAAAACACATGCTGGGTGACGCGTCTGAGCTAAACCCCCATCTGAAACGCTTACCTTCTGAGGACTGGCTGCTGCCGTAAAGGAAGGGGGGTGCTCCAGTCTCACTGCGCCCCCTGGAAACCAGAAACAACATGGGTGATGTTCTCTGAAGTGAGGGGAACCTATGAATGCGTCTACACTGACTCCATGTGTGTGGTCTGCCCGTTCCCACTCACTGATGTGTTATTGTTCACATTATCAGCTGAGATTGGATCTGTGCCCAATGCCCCACTGGTCGGTCTCATTCTCACAGCGAAGGTGATCGGCTCCCAACCTAGCTAAGGTCCACTGCTGTACTGGGATGGCTGATGGGGAACACACGCACACTTGTCTCCTAGTGCTATTTAAACTAAATGTTACAGACAAGCAAATGGAACTGGTATGACGTGAAGTAGTTACCTAATTATTCTTTATCAACAAAATCTCAGAAGTGAGATATCAGGGTAAGAACCTGATTGATCAGAGAAACAATGGAGAAGCAGCCAATGACCCCCCCCCCCTCTCTCTCTCTCTCTTCCCTTCCCCCATCCAAAGGGCCTTGTCTTTATCTCAGCCCCTCCCTACTACTTCCTGTATCTCTCCATCTGTCCTCAGTCCTCCAAAACCTCTATGGCTAACTTTGGTCAGCTAGTAGCTAGCTCCACCTTCTGATTCAACGTGAACTTTACTGGCAGCCTTGGGAGTGTCAGAGTGTGATCAAACACATCACAGCAATGACGGCACCGCATAAACTTAGCAAAGCAAAGCTCAGGCTGGGCTCAGCTGGCTGGGCTCAGCTGGCTGGGCTCAGCTGGCTGGGCTCAGCTGGCTGGAGGTGGACGCTTCCACTGAAGACATGGGCTGGATTTCTGCTCACTCTGTGGCTGTGCTGGCTACAGTTCTATGTGGTACAGTCATAAAAGATAGAGCTTTCTTTTCTTTTTTATTTTGTTTTTGTTTCAAGACCGGGTCTCTCTTTGTAGCCCTGGCTGTGTAGACCAGGCTAGCCTCAGACTCAGAGATCTGCCTGCCTCTTCTTCCTTAGTACCGTTATTAAACATGTGTGCCCGACCTCCCTCCTCTCCCCACCAATGCTGGGGAGACAGAACCAAGGGTCATGTCCACGTTAGGCAAGTCCTCTACCATTGAGCTCTATCCCCAATGTAAAATCAGTGCTTCTTCTTCCTCTTCTCCTTCTCTTCCTTCTCCTTGTTTTTTTGTTTTGTTTTGTTTTGTTTTTGTTTTGCTTTGTTTTGTTGTTGTTTTGAGACAAGGTTTCATGTAGTCTAGACTGGCCTCAAGCTCCCTACATAACCAAGAACGATTCTGAGTTTCTCATCTTCCTGCCTCCACCTCCCAAGCACCAGGATCATATGTGTGCACCGCCAGACTTTATACCAAGCAAATTACAAAGGGTGAACATGCAGCTTAACTTGAGCAACTAACATCAATGAAGAATAAAAAAAATTCTCAGACACTACTGGTCACCGCAGACACAGGATTGGGACCAAAAACAATTGAAGGGAATAACTTTCATCTTTCCCAAACTCATTGAGGCTTTTTTCTTGTTATTATTCCTATACAGTCTGGTACAACAACCATTTACATGACTTTACGTTGTCCCAGGGGTTGCAACTAATGATGACAAGCTCTGGGGATGGATACGGGAGAAGCCCACAAGGATTCTGTCATCTGTACTAGCTCCTGGCATCCATCCCCAAACTAAGCTTCCATACAGCCAGAGGACCAGGCGATTTTAATGGCTTCTTAGGAAAAGCAGAGATACTCATTTGAAATGAATACAAAGGTCTTAAGAAGACAGAGAAGTACTCACAAAACCAGTGTGTTGACAGACACAATGTATTCCAGCTCTTTGGTCCAAGGGTTAGTGAAGCTGAACCACTGGCTCTTGAGGGTTACGAAGGAGCCATCCTTCACTCTGAATTTGTACGAGTCTGTAAGTATTTTCTCCTTACTCTGCAGAACTTCACAAGAAAAGTTGTGATCAACAGAGCAGCCTTTAAAGTCAAAAGCCTTCAGGCCGAGTGTGGTGGCTCCTGCCCGGAATTCCAGTATCAGGGAGGCTGAGAAGAGGGTAGCTACCGGTTCCAGGCCAGCCAGGGGCCCCTACAGAATTCTAGGCCAAAAGTAGACACCAAACCAAAAGCCAGTGTCTTGAGAATCAATTTGAATTTTGAATTTAATAAGGAATGAGAAATCGAAAGTCAATGCTATAATCATTTATTTATTTATTTAGACAGGGTTTTGCCATGTAGTCCAGGCTAGCCCGGAACTCCTGATTCTTTACTTCTGCCTCCCAAGTACTGAGATTTTGAGTGCGATCCACCGACCCCTGACTGAAGTTGTGATTTTAAATTACCCTCAGAGCACCACACTCGATGAACCACCCACCTGCTTTGTGCTTGTCAGTCAAACTACTATGGTCATCTTGATGAAAATATTCATAACAGGAAGTCCCCAAGAGTTCCTGAGGCAGATATCCTAAAATCGCTGTTGCCCTGGTTGTGAAACAGAAAACAAACGTGGCATTTGCTGAAGATGGTGACGGCTCCCAGGCTACCGCAAGTCCAGGACAGGTGAGACTTCAGGGCAGCAGCCTGGGGGAAGAGCTAGTCACAGGGACCACTGGGCTCCTAAGGGATGCCCTGGTCCTCCCCAGCCCCAGACCAGAGCCACGGTGTAGCAAGCCACCAGGTGAGGTCCCACGGAGTCCAGATGATGCGCTTACAAGGCTACCGCCAACAGCATGGCCGCGGAGCGGGTCTGAACTCAGCACCAGGACTAAGAAACACCTTTCCAGGTTTGTCCTCTGTCTTGACCAAAATCACCAACACAGCCCTATCCTTATGTTGTTTAAACTGTGCTTCCGATTCCCAAGCCCTAATAGAAGAAACCTCCCGCAGAGCTATGGAGTCGGAGTTGCTCCCCCAACAACCTCAGCGACCCCAGCGGCTTCCTATAGCCACAGCGTGCGCGTGCACCTTTGATCCACGTAGACGAATTTCCCATTCATGGCAAAGCGGGTCACGAACTCAGTTGGCCTCACTTTGATCTTGCCGCTTTTCGGAGGGACGTTGTATGGATGCAACCGTCCCATGGCTACCAGGCAGGTAAGAGGACCACTGTCTTTCTCACTGTCCCTCTCCTTCTCCACACCAACAACACTTGGGGGCCAGCTTCTCAAGTATCCGGTGCAATGGACGGTATAGAATTTTCTGTGGTCTAACGAAAAGCCATAGAAATACACTTAGAACACAAATACCAATGTTACCACCACTTCCTCTTTCCCTCCTTCCACCTCCCCTTTTTTTGAGACAAATTCATCTGGTAGCTCAAGCTACCCCCCAGATCCCTATGTATAAGAGGCTATCCCCTAACTCCTGATATTATTGCCTCAGTCTCCCAAGCTGTTACGTATCTGTAGCACTATATCTATTATGAAGAGAATCTCTTACTGTTGGCTGTGAGGATGATTAATCAACACATATGATCCTATTGAACCACAGACATATTTGATGAGCACTTGGAAACAGATTAAAAGGTATTTTAAAAAAAACTCAAAAGCTTGAGTTTTCAGAAAAATTCTAAGCAATTCATTCCCATGAAAAAGCTCATCAAACCAGCCCAACAAATGAAAAACGAGAAAAAAATCATATGCTCAACTATGGGAAAAGTTTACAAAAACAATGAGCCATCACATAGGCTCAGAAGACGGGTGGTGCACACATTGCACACACCTAGAAAAGCAGAGAGAGCCCTCAGACACGCTATTTGGAAAGTTCAGCTGTGATTGGGCTTGCAGAAGACCAGCACAGACATTGTTTTAACTTGCAGTATCCAGGAAGACCGACAGGACAACAGATTTCATTATCACTATTGGTGTGTGTGTGACATCTGAGTGCACACGTGCAGAAGCCTGCATTGGAGCTCAGCGGACAGCTTTCAGAGTTGATTCTCGCTCCATCTTTATGTGGGATTAAACTCAGGTCACTGTGTGTCCCTCAAATGCCATCACATCTTGTTGGTCCCCAACAACAAATCTTTAAAAAAAAAATCATTTGTTTCTCTTTTAACAGTAAATTCTGTAGGTTGTCCTAAGTGTTCCAGTCAGCAGAGGCATAGAGGTGAAGAGGGTGAGCCTCAGGCCAGACGGTCTTACGTCCGTGAATGTATAACTCGTCTAACAGCCTTAATAGTTCTGTGAGGTGTTCTAATAGTCTCCGCTTGTCTTTGGAAACAGGCGGGGCCTACAGTGTGGCTGAGGGCCAGGTGTAGACAGGCTGGCTCGGCCTCTGAGCCTCTGCACGACTCACAGTCTTCTCATCTCTTCATCACGTATGGAATTGTCTCTCGAGTAGACAAAACAAGTGTTAACAAATTCATGCAGAATTAAATCCTATCCTGTACCTTTGCTGGTCACAATGGGATGGAGTCAATAAGTCAATTAAGAAAATTAAATCCTGTGTGTCTGCGTGGAGGGGGGACAGTGCACGTCCACCCAAGGGGAATTTAAGATTTCTTGAAACAGACAGAAATGGAAACACCTGTGATGAGGAAAAGGAAGAGGAAGAGGACAGACAGGAGGAAGGAAGGAACCTAGGACAGGGAGGGGCATGCGGAGGAGAGCAAATGAGAACAGCCAATGTATAGTGTATACACATATAAAGATGTCACAATGAGAACAGTCAATGTACAGTGTATACACACATAAAGATGTCACAATGAGAACAGTCAATGTATAGTGTATACACACATAAAGATGTCACAATGAGAACAGTCAATGTATAGTGTATACACACATAAAGATGTCACAATGAGAGCAGCCAATGTATAGTGTATACACAATAAAGATGTCACATGAGTACAGTCAATGTATAGTGTATACACACATAAAGATGTCACAATGAGAACAGTCAATATATAGTGTATACACACATAAAGATGTCACTTATAAAGATGTCACAAAGAGAACAGTCAATGTATAGTGTATGCACACATAAAGATGTCACAATGAAAACAGTCAATGTATAGTGTATACACACATAAAGATGTCACTTATAAGAGAACAGTCAATGTATAGTGTATACACACATAAAGATGTCACAATGAGAACAGTCAATGTATAGTGTATACACACATAAAGATGTCACTTATAAAGATGTCACAAAGAGAACAGTCAATGTATAGTGTATACACACATAAAGATGTCACAATGAAAACAGTCAATGTATAGTGTATACACACATAAAGATGTCACTTATAAGAGAACAGTCAATGTATAGTGTATACACAAAGATGTCACTTATAAAGACGTCACAATGAGAGCAGACAATGTATAGAGTATACACACATAAAGATGTCACTTATAAGGACACCACATGAAAGCAGCCAATGTATAATGTATACACTTATAAAGATGTCACAGTGGTACCAGGTTCCTTCTATGTTAACTTAAGGATTCTTTAAGATATAAAAAAAAACCACAACAGGCTAAAATCTTTGGCATAAAGCAAAAAGTACTAAGAAGGAAGTTTATAGCAATGAGCGCTTTCATAAAAATAATAATGTCAAGAAGACAGAATTTGAATATGCAACCTAATGATTCCTCTTAGAAAGCAGGAACAAAGCAAACCCCAAATCAGAATAGTTCCAGGTTTGTTCTTTTGGCTCAGCTCATTGCAGTCTACAGATTCGATGCAGTCCCTATCAGAAAAACAATGACATCCTTAACAGAGCTGAGAAAAACCTAAAACTCACATGGGAGCACAGAGGAGCCCAAACTGCAAAGCTGGAGGTGCCTAACTTCAAAGTACAGCCCTGAGCCATAATACCAAAAATGCATGGTAACGGCACAGGAACATATACACAGTCCAAAGGAGCAAGCGAGGAACCCAGAGACAAACCACAGGTCCGCAGACAGCTGATTCTCAACACTGGTGTGGGAAAGCCTGCCTGGGAGAAATGACAGCTCCCTCAACACACAGTGCTGGGGAAACCGGATATCCATTCACAGACCCGAAACTGAAGCCCCATCTCTCACCCTCCACAGAAGTCAATGGAAACATGAATGAAGACCTCAGTGTAGATATCAGACTTATGAAGTTACAAAGAGGAAACAGAGCAGCTACCTCAGATGCTGGGACAGGCAAGCTTTTCCTAGATGGGATTCCCAGGCTCAAAATCTATTCCACAGCACACAGTCAACAACAGAAAAACACAACCCAGAACTAGGAGAGACTTGCTGGTGACTCATCAGGCAAAGGGTCAATATTCACCATTTAAAGAATGAACACACAAACTTCACAGGACAGACATCAATCCAAAGACTCTCCACTTAGGCTGGCTGGTTTTGTGTCGACTTGACACGAGCTAAAGTCATCTGAGAGGTGGGAACCTCAGCTGAGACTGGGCCGCAGGCAGGCTATGAGCCACATTTTTAAACTGGCAATTGCTTGGGGAAGAGCCCAGCTCCTCGTGGGTGGTGCCCTCCCTGGGCTGGTGATTCTGGGTTCTATAAGAAAGCAGGCTGAGCAAGCCACGAGGAGGAAGTCAGTAGGCAGGTCCCCTCCATGGCCTCTAAATCAGCTCCTGCACCCAGGTTCCTGCCCTGCTTGCATTCCTGCCTCCACTTCCCTGGATGATGAACTACAGGAGGAAGCGTAAGCCAAATGAACAAAAGCTGGGGAAGCTATAGAGAAAGAGGGAGCCACACAGACAGCCAAGGGGAGCCATTGTTAGCAGCTACTGTAGGAAACAGTATGGGAATTCTCCAAAAGGCTACAGTATCATGACATCCAGCTACCCCACTTCTGGGCCTATCCCAAGAAGCAAAATCAAGGTACAAAGAGACCCCTAAAATTCCCATATTTAAAGCACATGGTCACACCAGCTATGACAGGAATCAGCCTAAGGAGCCTGCCAACAGGCAGACAGGTCTAAAGGGATATGGTGTATAAGCAACAGAGTGTGGTTCACACACAGAGGAAAATGGAATCCCGTTGTTTGTGGCAAAATGAAAGAGAAAAGAGGACACCAGTAACACAAGAATTCAGAAAGACAAGCACCAGGTATTCACGCTCCATGAAAACAAGAAATAACTGGTCTACCTAGGGACAGCCCCTACCCGAGACTCTGTACCACGCAGAGTCACGGGCAGAGGGAGGTGACTGAGTGTTCATTAAGCATCTCAAGTGTTTCCTTTTTAGCCAGGTGGTGGTGGCACATGCCTTTAATCCCAGCACTTGGGAGGCAGAGGCAGGCAGATCTCTGTGAGTTCGAGGCCAGTCTGGTCTACAAGAGCTAGTGCCAGGACAGGCTCCAAAGCTACAGCAAAACCCTGTCTAGAAAACAAACAAACAAACAAACAAACAAAAAGTGTCTCCTCCTTGATTCTAAGACAGACATAAGACAACTTTCATGAGAATTAAAATGTTCTTTGCAGCATCAGGAACAGACTAAATGTTTACTATATCATCAACAAGTGTGATTTTCTTCATGTGTGGTTATAAAAACAATTTGTACCAAAATTTATAAAAAAAAAAAAAAAGAATCCTGCAGTCCTATATAAAGACCACTTTTTAGTCAGGTGAAGTGCTCCATACCTGAAATCTCAGTACTAGGGAGGTTGAGATGGGGGATGATGCACAGGAGCTCCAGAGCGGCCTGGACTACACAGTAAGACTCTGTCTCAAAAAGAAACAAGCAGGGGCTGGATTCACTACTTAAGAGTTCCTGCTGATCCTCCAGAGGGCCCAAGTTCAGTCCTCAGCATCCTCATCAGGCAGCCCACAGCTGAGTGTAATTCCAGTTCCAGGGGTCTAATGGCCTCTTCTGGCCTCTGTGGGCATTATACACACACACTTACACTTAAAAACTAAGATTAAAAACATTGCTTTAGGGCTGCCACTCAGGAGGCAGAGGCAGGTGGATCTCTGTGACTTTGAAGCCAGCCTGGTCAACATAATGAACTCCTGGCCAGGGCTACAAAGTGAGGCCCTGTCTCAAAAACAAAAACAAACAAACTTTAAAAAGATGTCAAACTTTGTTGTCATTTGAGTTTTTATTTTATTATTGAGACAGGGTCTGGCTATGTAGTCCTGGCTGGCCTTAAACTCACAGAGATCCACCTGCCTCTGTTTCTTAAGTGCTGAGGTTCAAGGCTTGATGTAGGAGGGTCTTCTATCTATCTGTTGCTTCCATTGGTTAATTAATAAAGAAAACTGCTTGGCCTGATAGGTCAGAACATAGGTAGGTGGGGAAGACAAAACAGAATTGTGGGAGGAAGAAAGCAGAGACAGGCAGACGCCATGAAGCTCCAGCCTGATATGGATGTAAGTTAGAATCTTCCCGGTAAGCCAGCACCTCTTGGTGCTACACAGATTAATAGAAATGGGTTAATCAAGATGTGAGAGTTAGCCAGTAAGAAGCTAGAACTAATGGGCCAGGCAATGTTTAAATGAATACAGTTTCTGTGTAATTATTTCGGGCATAAGCTAGCCAGGCGGCAGGGAGCCGGGTGGTGGGAAGCGGCCCACTGCTCCTTCTACAAGTGGTGCTCCAACATGGTAACTAACTCCACATAAAACCTGAAAAGGCTTAAAAAGGAGAGAGAGAGAGAGTTTAACACAGCTTTTTGCTGTTTGCGGGTGGTGTGCCGCAGAGAGATTTCCTGATTCAGCAACAGCACCATAAAAAAAGCCAGGCCATTTTAAAACGCGGCTTCTTGGGCCCTGCCGCTGGTGCAAACTCTGGCTATGGTGCATTTGTGGGCCTGGGTGTTTGTGTGTCCAGTTGGGATCAGGAGAAAAGCAGCTGAGACTATGCCAATGGTTCAGCTCTTCCTGCCTGGGCAGACAACAGAATCAGGCTTGGTCAGGCGGGAGAGCATGGTGGATTTCTGCTGCCATACACAGAGAGGTTTCCAGGCTGCGCACTGGTCTGCCTGGCAGATTAGGCTATAACTGAGATAAAAATTCTCAGAGTTAAAGTGCTGATTGTGGCTCCTACCTAGAGGTGTAAAAAAAAAAAACATGTAGTATTAAAATGCTAGCTTTCTGGGCTATGCTCCTACCACGAGCCCTGACTCTTGCGGGAGACAGAGAATTTGGATGGGGTTTTGTGAGTAAAATGCTTGCTTGCTTTATGGCAACGTGGACTTGCTGTGTGCCTGGAACTGTGCGCGGCTCAGGGGCACCAAATGGCTGAGGCAGGAATGGCTCCTCCACGCTGAACTGTGCTGATCTCAGGCAGGAACTACCATAATTATCATAATAAAAGCACAGTTAAGGTTTAGACTGGGCAGGAAACAGGCAGTACCGTGTTACTTCTACATGGCACAAGTTAAGTTTTTAAGAAGTGCTTAGCATTTTAAGAAGTACTCCTGGATAGTAAAAAAAATTACAGGTTCACAATAGGACAGATTCAGACATAAAAGACCACTAAATGGGTCACAGTGTTGGATGAGTGTACATAGGCTTGGGAGAGAGAAGAAAAAGAATATAGAGAATAAAGTTAATGCGTTAAAAAATGTAAAGTCTTTAAAGAGACAGAGTACAGATAGTTATAGATTAAAAGAAATAAAAATAAGCCACGTAAAAATGGAAAATTCACAGAGAGTTTGTATTCTGTATGTTATTGTATTTTCTTCCAATTTTTTGACTGTGAAGGAGCTAAGTACAAAGAGACATTTCATTGTGTGGATCTGCTAAGCTAATCCAACATGTGTATTATAAAGCTATCTTGACTTCAGAATTTGGATCTAAGGATATGATGCTTTGGTGAGGGTCTTCTTTTGTTTTCACAGAGGATGAGACCCTGTGGATTGCTTCTATCCCAATATGGTATGATAGACCACGCCCTCCTGAAAGATTGCTGTGAACACCTTAAGAAAATTACTTCACTCAACTGCCAACTAAGATGAACCTGGCACACAAGTTACACCATGAAAGACCTGATTAACAGCACCCCTATACAGCAGGAAGAAGTTTGGAGAGAAATAACTACGTCCATATTCCCAAATATTGTCTATAAATGTTCTTTCACATTTAAAGGGGGATATGATATAGATATGAATAATTTACATTGGTATAAATTTTGCTTTATTGGTATAAAGTTAAGGTCAATTTTGTTATACGTATATGTATTTCTGATCTTGATTAAGGTATTGTGGTTGTGTAGTTCATTGAAAAATGTAATGTATAATTAGGAAATGTAGGTTGTTAATGGATAATCATCAATAATAGTCAAGCTTGTAGTCATGTTAGATTTTCTAGATGTGTATAGATATATTTCAGACAGGCATTCTTCATATCTTTCAAAGACTACAGAATATGGCATTTAATGTTTTAAAAACTTAGGGCTTTTCATGACAATGAGACACTTCTGATCCTGGCAGCACCAGCTACTTCAAGAGGAAGATGGGCATCAAAGAGGCTCCTTATGGAGTTGGTTAGCCATTTGGACAAGAAACTGCTCTTGCCTGGACTATTGCTTAAACTAGACACAGAGAACCCACAGAAAGAGGACTGCTGAACCTGCCTAAAGGTGAGATGGTCTTTTGGGGTTCCTGATTCATGAAAGAGTCTGTGAGACATTCTGCAGGACACAGAAAAAAGTGACTGAACTGCCTTTGAAATCTCCTGCTTCATGGAAATGTCTGCTGGATATTATGGGCCTATAGGCTGAAGATGGATGCCCCAATGGTACAAAAGAACTTTGGGTGACTATACAGGCAGCAAGATGTTTCTGTCATTTCTAGAGTTTTGGAAGTTGCTTACTTCTTGTTTACTTAGGTAATATTATATACTTCTGGAGTCTTTGATGGAGTTGAAGAATGGATAGTTAAAGTTTTCCTTGGTTGTGATAAAAGATAAAATAGATATAAATATTATAACTGTAATTCTTGCTTGATAACTGTTTCGTTATATGTATTTTTGCTATGTTAAAATAAAAGCCTTCTTTTTTGTTTAAACAGAAAAAGGGGAAATGATGTAGGAGGGTCTTCTATCCGTGGGCTGCTTCACACCACCTGGCTAGCTTATGCCTGAAATAATTACATGGAAACTGTATTCATTTAAACACTGCCTGGCCCATTAGTTCTAGCCTCTTACTGGCTAACTCTCACATCTTGATTAACCCATTTCTATTAATCTGTGTAGCACCAAGAGGTGCTGGCTTACCAGGAAGATTCTAACCTACATCCATCTCGGGCCAGAGCTTCATGGCGTCTGCCTGTCTCTGCTTTCTTTCTCCCAGCATTCTGTTCTGTCTTCCCGATCTACCTATGTTCTGACCTATCAGGCCAAGCAGTTTTCTTTATTAATTAACCAATGGAAGCAACAGATAAATAGAAGACCCTCCTACATCAAAGGCCGCCAGATCTGGCCCCAAATCGAACTTCAGCTTTCTCTGCTACAAGTTCAGCAGCACCATGGAAATCCCAGACAGCAGAATGCGCACTGCTGAAGTGACAGAATGAACAACCTTGGTTTAACACAATTCCACTTAGACACTTTGTATCCTATTTCTTGCCTTGACTGTGGAATTTACTTTTTCTCTTACAGAAACTAATTAGGACCTCTTGTTCCACACCAGGCACTGAACCCCATGCTCGCATGCTCTCCTGGGAGTCCCACCTTTCTTCTTTGAGCAGGGTGAACATTGAAGCTCTTCCTTGACGGGGATTTTACAGCTCTTCATTCTAAAGAAGAAAGATCGTCTGGAGCCAGAATGCATGTGTGGTCGTCGAGTGTGCCCGGGACTGTAAAGCTGCAGAGAGGCTTTCACAGTGGTGGGAAGGAGAACAGAAAGGTCACAGGCATGCTTAAAACCCACTTCCTTCATCCTCTCTTCTTCCCTTCTCTTAAAAAAGGAAATAATCGCAGTGTACGCCTTTAAACCCAGCACAAGGAAGCAGAGGTAGGCAGATCTCCATGAGTTCAAGGCCAGCCTGATCTATGTAGGGGGCTCTAGATCAGCCAAAGCTGCATAGTGAAACTCTGTCTCAACAAACAAACAAGCAAACAAATATATAAACAAATAAAACCAAAATTATAAACTGCTGAGATAATTTTCTCCCCTTAATTTTAAAAAACAATTTATTTGTATTTTATGTGTGTGTGTTTACCTGAGTGGATGTGCGTGCCCATGGAGGCCAAGAGAGGGCATCGGACCTCTGGAGCTGGAGTTACAAACAGGTGTGGGCAGCACTGCATGTTGGGAGCAGAACCTGGTCCTCTGCAAGAGCTCTTAACTGCTGAGTCACCTCTCTGGCCCCCAAATCACTGTTTCTATGTCATAAGTAACTGCTTGGCACTAGGCATTTTCACAAGTCAAGTATCTTGGGATAATGAATACATATATTTCCCAAGCCCAGTGGTACAAGATCTTTCATACCCTAAAATCTTGGTCATATACAAAAGAGAATAAAACTACAGCAACTTTTTACCCTCAAATAATACTGTCTTATAAAAGTTTCATTTGGATTGAAAACTATAAGCAATCATATATTCCCACATATCATCTTCATGTGAATATATGTATTGCATATGTCTGTAAAGGAATTCTCTTTCTCTCTCTCTTTTTCCTTCCCTCCCTTCCTCCTCCATCCCTCTCTCTATTTCCTGTGTGTGGATAAAACCATAACCAACCGTTTTCTGTCCCTGCCCCCATGCTATGTCATTCCCACCGTGATAGACTCTATCCTTCTGAAAGAGTAAACTAAAAATAAATAAATAAACAAATAGAAGCCCTTTCTGGTGTTCATGGGGATTTATCACAGCAATGGAAGGTGACCAGTCAGGAAGTAGGGACAGTGGTAAGAACCCCGAAAGGAGAACTCACTTTTGGTGTTCACAGGTTTCTCTCTTGGGGAGACATCATAAGAAAGTTGTTCCTTTACTTTGGCAACATCTTTTGGGTGTAAAAAGTCAAACAGATTCTGTCCCATCAAGCTGCCCTGTTGAGAAAGTGGATATACACTTATATCAATGAAGTCACCTTTGGACATTTCTTCACACACACAAGATAAATGTTCCTTGTTAGAGATTGGTATTTTTCTCCCCAGTGCTGGGGCTCAAACCTGGGGCCTTGTGTGTACCAGGAGAGTGCTCTACCACTGAGTTACACCCCAAGAGGTAAACCTTCCTTGAACTTAAATAAAGATACATCATATCATGAGGCATTTACTTGGGGTTCTGGGTGACATTTGTAAATATAAACAAAAGTGCATTCTGAGGGGCTGGAGAAATGGCTCAGTAGTTAAGGGGCACATGCTTTTCTTCTGGAAGACTCAGGACCTACAGGGCAGCTCACAGCCATCTGTATTCTCGTCTCAGAAGATCTGACAGTTTCTTTGGCTTCTGTGGTACACACGCATGTATGCGGTACACAGATACATGAGCAGGAAAACCAGCACTGGGGAACATGTGCTCAACTATGTTCATAGCAGCATTATTTGTACTAGCCAGAACCTGGAAACAACCTAGAAGCCCCTCAACCAAAGGATATACCTGGGCCCTGCACAGAATAGCATCACACAATCACAGAATTTTTCTGGAATCTTTAAGATTTTCAATAGTGGCAATAAGAACCAGAAGGACACTGCATTTATTCTTGCTCATCCAACCTCATTTTTCTACAACTGATGTTGGTAGGGACCGAAACACAGTCTTCTCAAATACTAAGGACTTAGAGGATTGTTCTCTAAGATGAAAGGCCTTACTTCTCTGAGGTTTCATAATAAATTCAAATACTCTTTCTAAGAAAGAATTCACCCTTCTACTGTCTTCCTTCTCTCTCAAAGCTCTGACTTAGCGGCAAAGGGAAGGATGGGGTCAGACACAGCTTCAAGTTAGGATTTGTTTACAATAATCAGGACCACGTGAAAACACCATGGTTTGATACCTGATCATACTGCAGCGTTTTGGAGATGGACTTAGATACGAAGAGAATCCTCCCTCTTTCACATCCGACCACGAACAGGAAACCTTCTGCTGTCTAGGATCAATACAAAACCCAGACTGAGTCATTTCTCCTGCACCTAGTCAGCGTCGGAGGAGAGACGTGGCTCTGAAACTCTCAGAGCTGTGAAGACAGCCGGCAAACCCCAGTCTAAAATTATCATATGACATACAGAGAACGTCAAATTCAATTCTAAAATGTTAGCTATAGACTATTTTGTTGGTATCTGATCATCAAGCTACTTTACATGTGTGCAGGGTCATGGAACACGGTCCATGATGGGGAAGAAGAGACATCACGGGGTTAAAGGAGAAAAGGAGAAGGTAACGGAACACATGTGATGTGAAAACAGAAGTGGGGACCATTTGGGGCAAGAAAGGGAACAGGGGAGGGTGGGAAAGGCTAAACCAAGTACGAACATACATGTGTGAAAATGTTACAGTAAAGTCCATCACATTATATGACAACATTCCAACATAAAATCACCTTCGCCAGAGTTCAGTCTGCTACACAGAGAACCCTGTGAAGTTCTTAGAACACATCACTTGCTACTGCTGCTACGGCCGTGCTATGCAAACCGGGAGAGGAAGGGTTGACTCTGTGTATGTGTGTGTGCGTGTGTGTGTGTGGTCAGCATGTAAGTCTGTGCATCGAGTATATGTCTGTTGTCCATGGAAGCAGAAGAGGGCATCAGATCACCTGGAACTGGAATTATAGATGGTTGTGAACCATCAGGTTGGTGCTGGGATTTGAACCTGGATCATCTGGAAGAGCAGCCAGTGCTTTTAACCTCTAAACCATTTCTCCAGGCTGGTACCCCCCAGGGAAGCATTCTCTCTCTTTTGTAATAGTCTTGTGTGGCTCAGGCTGGACTCAGACTTGCTATGCCGTCTAGGACAACTTTGAATTTCCTCCAGTCCGGACGCCTGCCTTCATCACCCGAGCGCTGGGGTTCCAGGCATTCACCACCACACCTGTTTATGCAGAGCTGGGGTCCGGAGCCCAGAGTTGTGTGCAGCTAGGCAGGAACTCTGCCAACTGAGCTACCTTCCTGCACTCCGACTCGTTCTTAAAACAATCAACAGGAAGAGTTAGATGACGTGTGCTGGGGAGAGCTGAGGTAACAGGAAGCAGCGGGTGAGAAAAGCGCCCCATGACTATTGGCTGGGCCTCCAAAGCCCTCTGCATGATTATCTAACATCGCCCTGTATCCCCAAAACCCATTGTCAGGGCAAGCGAGATGGCTCCGTGGGAAAAGACGCTGGCTGCCAAGTCAGATGCCTGAATTTGAATCCTGGGACCCACATGGTGGAAAGAGAGAACCAACTCCCCCACTGCTCTCTGATCTACACATACACGCACATGCCATGACATAGTCCCCTCCCCCTGACTGTTCTCTGATCTACACACACATGCCCATGCTATGACATGCATCCCCCTCCCCTTCAGGTCAGTGTAATAAAATGATTTAGATTAACCCTCCAGGAGCTAGGGTGCAGTTCAGAAGTTCAGGATACTTGCTGTTCTCTCAGAGGGCCTGAGTTACTTTCCAGCTCCGACAGCAGGCAATTCAAATGACCTATTACCCATGCTCCAAGAGAGCCTTCTGTCCTCAGGGTGTACCACACACACAGAGAGAGGGAGACACAATTCAACCCACCTATAACCCATGATCCAAGAGAGCTCCTGTTCTCAGGGTGCACCCCCCCCACACACACACACAGAGGGAGACGCAATTCAACCTGCCTATAACCCATGATCCAAGGGACCCTTCTGTCCTCAGGGTGCACCCCACACACACAGAGGGAGACACAAACACATATGCGTGAATAAAAAGTAAATCTTAAAGATTAAGTTAAAATAAGAGTAACTTTTTTAAAGTTAAAGAAAAATTAACAAAACTATAACATGCACCTATGTCATAGTACGAGGCAAGACTGTCAATCAGACACCAAATTTTCTGCTGTGGAGCCTAGAAAGCCCCACCTGTGAGAAAATGAGGCCATGACAGCAGCCCTCGGAAGGCTCTGAGGAGGTGGTGACCAGAGCTGAGGGGGTGTCTCAGGTGTGAGGGGGTGTCTCAGGTGTGAGAGGGTTGTCTCAGGTGTGAGAGGGGTGTCTCAGGTGTGAGGAGAGTGTCTCAGGTGTGAGGAGGATGTCTCAGGTGTGAGAGGGGTGTCTCAGGTGTGAGGAGGGTGTCTCAAGTGTGAGAGGGGTGTCTCAGGTGTGAGAGGGGTGTCTCAGGTGTGAGGAGTGTGGAGTCACTTACTTTGAGGATCAAGTGACTGAGCTCCTTATCCTGAATAAATGAAGGTCTAGAATTATCTCCTAAGAAAGACTCTGTCACACCTAAAAATAAATAGGCCAAAATTACTGAAAATACAGAGAAAGAAATTTAGTAATTGCTCAGTGTGCACTGTGCACAAGCGGCTGCTGTCACAATACAGTGACCCCTCCCTCTTTCCTCTTCCTTCTCCCTCCCTCTTTCCTTCCTTTCCTCCCTTCCTTCCTTCCTCCTTCCCTTCCTTTCTCCTTCCTCCTCATTCCCTTCCTCCTCCCTCCCTCCCTTCCTTTTCTCCTCTTCCTTTTTTTTATTGTTATCTAGGGCCTCCTGTATTCTGGGCTGGCCTTGAGTTCACTATGTACCCCAGGCTGGCCTTGAACTCCTGATCTTGCCTCCACTTTCCGAGAGCCAGGACCACAGGTGACCGCCACCACACTCAGGTTATGTGGTGCCGAGAACCCAACCTGAGGCTTCCTAGGCTCTAAGCAAACACTCCAGCAACTGAGCTGCCTCCCTGGAGTGTCTCTGCAGTCCAGGGTGACCTTGTACTCATGACAATTCTCCTGCTTCTGACTCCAGATTGCTGAGATTATAGGCGTGAACCACTAAACCTAACTATTGATTTAATATCCAAATAATACATAGAGAGTAAGAGCTTGAGAGAATAAAATGTACACAAGCCTCAGGAGTGGGTAAAAGAGACTCTCATTTCTCAACAGACTCATGGAACCCAGATCTCCAAGCACAGAAAAGGAAGTCCCAGCAACCGCAGTCTGGCAAGGTTGCTGCAGGGTCCACAGAACACCCCTTTCTCCGAAACCCGTGCTCTGGGCTCGGCTTTACAGGCAGAGATCTAAGCAGGAACCACTAGGTGGCAGTGTGCATCCGAATCATACTTTGTTTGCTTTGAGACCAGGTCTCTGGAGCCCAGGCTGGCCTTGAACTACTACTAGTCGGCCAGTCCCGGCCTCCATACTGGGATTTTCGGTGTCTGACAGCCTGTCTTCTCACATGAAGCCAAGGGGTACAATTCTGCAAGGGCGTGGTCAGGTGGACAGACATCACAGCCAGGACCAACCCCAGACTGACAGAGTGCTCTGTATGGAGACCATGATGCCCAGCCTGGAGCAGCCCTGTCCTTACCTCTCAGAGACCGCAAGTACTGCACTGCCCTCCTCAGGACAGTGAGCTTGTCCAGTTTCCGGGCCGCGGGGCTGAGTGGAGGGATCATAGAGGACAGCTCCCGAATTAGATGGTTCATCTTGTCTCTCCGCCGCTTTTCCATCTGTCTGTGAGCGTCCCTGACGGGGAGGAAGAACCTCCTTGGCTAATGTTCACCCCTTCGCCCAGAGGCACTTAGGGTGCTGGGGCCCACTGCACTCAGGGTGTGGCTGCATTTACACGGAAGTCCCCCTCCCTCCTGTGGAACAGCATGTGGCCTCCACACATCAGAGCTGACCAGACACTACTGTCATCCTCACTTTATTATCCAGCTCCCGATTGTGTCTAGAAAGTGCTCGAGCCCTGCGCTGACAGACACCAGTACTGATTCTAGTGTTGTTGCTGTGGTTTTTGACCCTAAGTCTTCTGTTCTGAGAATATCATCATCACCATTATCATCACCATCATCATTATCATCACCATCACCATCACCATCATCATCACCACCATCATCATCATCATCACCATCATCATCATCATCACCATCATCATCATCATCATCACCATCACCACCACCATCATCATCATCATCATCATCATCACCATCATCATCACCATCATCACCACCATCATCATCATCATCATCATCACCACCATCATCATCACCACCATCATCACCATCATCATCATCATCATCATCATCATCATCACCATCATCATCATCATCATCATCATCATCATCATCATCATCACCATCACCACCATCATCATCACCACCATCATCATCATCATCACCATCATCATCACCATCACCACCACCATCATCATCATCACCATTATCATCACTATGGGGTGCCTGCCGCAGCACACAGACGGGGTTCAGATGACAGCTCTGTGGAGTTGGGGCCTTTCCAGCTTTCACAGGATCTAAAACTCAGGTTGTCAGGTTGAAGTCTTTGCCCCTGAACACCCCGCCATCTTGGAGGTCTTCACTCCCCTCTGGCTTCTGTGGTCCTGCTTCTCATCCTGCTTGGTTCTCCTTGCTCAGCCCAGCACCTTAGACTCAGCTTCCCTTCTCCCTAAATATTGGTGTCATCACAATCCTCTGCTTGGTCCCTGTCTCCCAAGATGCAGAGCACCCTAGCAGAACGCCCCCTTCCTAGGTTCCGTGGTTCCCAGAGGCAGAGCGCCCTAGGAGAACGCCCCCTTCCTAGGCTCCATGGTTCCCAGAGGCAGAGCACCCTAGGAGAACGCCCCCTTCCTAAGGCTCTGTGGCTCCCTGGTTTGTCCTTACCTTCTCCCTCCAGCCTTTGGAAGCAGTTCAGCCCCTGAACACTTCCCAAGAAATCTGCAACTAAAGAAAATCCAAACCAGAGTCATCCCTCATCTGTCCTGTCAGACTCCTCCTCCAGTCCTGCAAGCTCCTCCCTCCATGTGGTGGTCCTTGGCTGGTGGCACATGGAGATTTATCCTCAACCTGTTCTTTTCCTCAAAGGGTCAAACAGTCATGAAACTTGGTAGAATATATATATCATTCCATAGTTGCATTTCTTTCTCTTCAACCCCCACCAGCCCCACTCTGGGGCCCTGCGCTGCCCACAAAGCCCTTTAAACAGAGCTTCCTCTTGATGTTTTCCTCAGCTAGTTTGTGCTATCTACACTTGCAGAATTGCCATTCAACAATCTTCACCCATTGGATATTGCTCTCCTTCTAAAACACAACTGGTCTCATCTGCTTCTCCATCTCTTAACTCCACGAGTTGTCACATAGTAGGTTTTGTTTTCTTGCGGGGGGGTTGTTTCTTTGAGGACTAGAGAAATGGCTCAGTGATTAAGACCTTTGCTGTTCTTGTTCACAGGTGACTCACAACTGCCTATAACTCCAGTTCCATGGATCTGACACCCTCTTCTGGCCTCTGTGGGAACTGCACACATGGGGTGCACATATATACATCCAGACAAACACTCATATACATAAATATTTTTTAAAAATATTATATTATTTGTTTCTGTGAGTGTGTGTGTGTGTGTGTGTTGTGTGTACGTGCAGGTTGGAGGCCAGGAAGAGGACATCAGATTCCTTGGAACTGGAGTTACAGGCAGCTGTGACTCACTTGTGGGTTCTAAGATCCAAACTTGGATCCTTAGAAAAAGCAACAAGTATTCTTAACTGCTGAGATATCTCTTTATCCTACATAGTGGGTTCTTAATAAATGTTGAGTGACTACATAGCACAAGACCTTGGCCACAGCCCCTTTGAGAGAATCATCTCTCCATCCAAAGCTGGAAGTGTTCTTGATGAAAGAAGACAGGTGAAGGGGCTCGGGGGAAGGTTTCCCACCGTGGTTCCTGCCATGGATTCTGACCAGGAAGGAAGGAGGCCTTGGCTCACCCCTGGGATGGTGCAGCTCACTGTCACCTGACAGGACTTGGAATAACCTAGGAGACACCCTCCAGCTCGTCTACAAGACTATTCCTGGAAAGGGTTAACTGAGGAAGGAAATCCCTCTCTGAATTATGCAATTCAAGGCCAGCCTGAACTACAAGGGCCATATAGTAAGTTCTAGCCTAGATAGTGTTACATATAGAAATTGAGTCTCAAAAAGCAAAAAAGACCAAAAACCAAAACAAAACAAAAAAGCTACACACATACACACACTCACGCACACTCTCAGACACGCACACACACTCACGCACACACTCACGCACAGACTCACACACACACACACACTCTCACACACTCTCATACACACACTCACGCACACACATACTCTCAGACACGCACACACACTCTCACACACACACTCTCACACACGCACACCTAGTAGGAACTCTCATTTGTTATCAGCTGATATCTCCAGATGAAGGTAACTGTCCTTGGCCAGCTGCCCTTATCCTGTACATCTTGTTAACGGGGAGAAGTAGAGAATACAGAGTCAAACCAGGAAGAAATCTCCCAGTCATATGCAACTGACCGGAGAACTTCTTTGAGGCTTTTGGTTGAACCACACCAGTATCACTGTCCTGGGGACCGAAGCTAAAAGATGGAGGATCCTGGTGAGAACCAATTTAAACAGACCTGGGAAGTTTGCTTGTATTCTCCTCTCTAACTCAGAATCTGCCCTTCTGGGAGGGTGGGAAACTGACCCCAGCTTGCCCACTCCCACACAGCCAGCGCTATCCCAAGAGTTGTCTAACCGGTTTTACTGTATAAACCTAGCTTTGGGGGGCTAATGAAAGCATCTTAGGCTACAAGGTGCATAGGAGAGAGGGGCAGGTTGAAGAATGGCTCAGTGGTAGAGCCCCTGCAGTGAGGAGAGGGGTGTGGCTCAGTGGTAGAGCCCCTGCAGTGAGGATAGGGGTGTGGCTCAGTGGTAGAGCCCCTGCAGTGAGGAGAGGGGTGTGGCTCAGTGGTAGAGCTCCTGCAGTGAGGAGAGGGGTGTGGCTCAGTGGTAGAGCCCCTGCAGTGAGGAGAGGGGTGTGGCTCAGTGGTAGAGCCCCTCCAGTGAGGATAGGGGTGTGGCTCAGTGGTAGAGCTCCTGCAGTGAGGAGAGGGGTGTGGCTCAGTGGTAGAGCCCCTGCAGTGAGGAGAGGGGTGTGGCTCAGTGGTAGAGCCCCTGCAGTGAGGAGAGGGGTGTGGCTCAGTGGTAGAGCTCCTGCAGTGAGGAGAGGGGTGTGGCTCAGTGGTAGAGCCCCTGCAGTGAGGAGAGGGGTGTGGCTCAGTGGTAGAGCCCCTCCAGTGAGGATAGGGGTGTGGCTCAGTGGTAGAGCTCCTGCAGTGAGGAGAGGGGTGTGGCTCAGTGGTAGAGCCCCTGCAGTGAGGAGAGGGGTGTGGCTCAGTGGTAGAGCTCCTGCAGTGAGGAGAGGGGTGTGGCTCAGAGACACACATCTTACCTAGCTCGCTTGGGGTCCTGGGTTTATTCCCAGCAACACACAAACAAGCAAACACTGAGATCTTCATTATCTAGCTGGCTTAGTAGCTATGGAAGCAAGAGCTTTATGAGATTAACTGAGTACAGATCACGGGGCTATTCTGTAACCGATGGGTTGGGTGGCCAGTGAACTGACCGGGAGACAAACATGCATGAGTGTTTTGCTCCTGGTGCAGTGTTTTGATAAGGGAAGAGGGGAGTTAGCCGTGACCATGAACATTACATACTGATATAGATATTATACACCGACATCTCATTCAGATTCTGGCTGACCTTCCTGGACAGCCCTCACCACCAGTCCTGGAAGGCAAGATCAGGGACAGGTACAGTAGGCAGTGACCAGCCGCCACGCAGCCACAGACTTGGAAATGACTGAAAGAGTTTATGGGGTTGGAACAAGGCGCACTCACTGGGCCGGGTCCGAGTCACTTCCTTTGCGTTTCCTCGGAACCTCCATGACAAGGGCGCTGGCAGGTCCAGGAGCCGTGAGTTTCATCATGTGACTGGAAACCATAAGAGCATGGCTGTGGCTGTCTACCGGCCCTTTACCTGTGCATGAGGGAGCAAGGAAGAGGGTTTCAGACACTAACTTTCACCTTAGGCATGATTGTATCACACAATTCATACAGTAGCTCTGTCTTGATATCTGAAAACTCAGCTAAGAGAATCATGACGGGAGGAGAAATCTCCTTTATTTGAATTTAGAGAATTCAAACATGAGTTTGAAATGTGTGTGTTCATTCACCTTTGGAAGTTTATTGTGTGACAGTAAAACAAGTACACGGGACCAGATCCCCTAGCATTCTCCTGTAAGCCACGATCTGGCAATGTGTGCACACCAAGAGCAATTGTCACATCACAGAGACAAGATCAAGTGGGAGGAAGTGAGGACAGACCTCACCCAGGGTCTTTGATGTTGAGTGTCAGGGAGGCAGAAGACACGGCCAAGACTGTAGCGGAATTCGTTTCACTGACCTCCTGCAATGACACGGGCCATCCCTCCCATCCACATCACCAGCACGGTGTGCAAGCCGATTTAGGAGCCGGTCAGGTCAGAGACACATCAGGGAGTTTCACGTACACTGAGTCTGGCCAAATACCTCAGAGGAGGCCAAACCTACTGTCCTGTCCGGTGGCCTGCAGCCATGACTAACTGTTATGGGAAGGGGACTTAACTGGTGGCCTGCTGGCAAGCAATCTCCACAGAAATCCTTCCTCAGAAATCTTAAGTCAGTGTACTCCCTTGCCTCGAGCACACCTTTGGCTCAATTCTGCTCTTGTAACCCAATCTTCCCGAAGCAGGCTTAGCAGATCCTGGATAACATCACTTTGTTACCCTCAGTCTCTCCTCGGTTGACCCCACGGGTGCTCACGGCTGCTGACACATGAGAAATAGGCAAAGAGAAATGGAAAAACTCACAGCAATTATATTTTTGTTGTTTGTTTTTGCTATGTCTGCTTGGGTTAGCCACAGTTGTTGTAATAGGAGTGGCGGGCTACGTTCCTGGTATCCGGCCACCTGCACGGCTAGCTTTACCGGAAATAATTACACGGAAACTGTATTCTTTTAAACACTGCCTGGCCCATTAGTTTTAGCCTCTTAACCCATTTCTAATAATCTGTGTAGCATCACGAGGTGCGCTTACCAGGAAAGATCTTAACCTGCATCTGTCTGGAGTGGGAGACCCATGGCGACTCCCTGATCAGCTTCTTTCTCCCAGCATTCTGTTCTGTTTTCTCCGCCCACCTAAGGGTTGGCCTATCAAATGGATCTAGGCAGTTTCTTTATTAATAAAAAATCACTCCCACATCACACAGTTCCCAGCAGCACGATCAAACAATGACCTCTAGATCTGACTAATCCCCATCACGGGTGCACTATGGTCAAGGAAATGCTCCCAGGTAGACTGGAAGGAGCTGATCTACTCCAAAGGGCCTGGGACACACCTGAGGCTTCCCTGGGACAGCGGCGGCAGAGACCCTCAGCCTGCCGGCAGACAGTCACCCTGCAGGTTCCAGGCTGGTCTAGCTCCCTGCATCACCTTGCATGCCAGCTCCCTGCCAGTCACTGTAAGAAGGCTCTGGCATCTCTGCTCCTCTGGCTGTGCCCAGACACGTGCATCTGCCCAACATCACCCCATTGTTAGGTGAAATTGTTCAGAATCCCTCAAAGCCCTGGAGGCCGGCCAGCAGACAGGTTCCGTTTCAGTTATCAGCACAGCGCAGAAATGGCACCATCGGAAGGACTGCAGGTATTGAAGGAATGTAATCCAAGGTCAGGCAGAAAGGTTACGTGTTCTGGAGGCCAGCTGGCCTGGGTTCAGGCTCTGGCTCAGCAGTCTTTCCCTTAGGACGGAACCTAAGTTCTCAGCTCCTCAGCTGTGCATCTGGAACACAGAATAAAACAGGGCTGTCCTCAGGCGGCTACTGCAGAGCTGGCGGCTACAACTCAGGAGGTGTTCAGAGCATCCAGTGAGAGCCTGAAACGGTGTACTGGGTGTTTGTGGAGGTGGGGGGATGCGCGAGCAAGCACCAGCGAGGAGGACTGTAGCCACTGAGTCATGAGAAATCGCTGAGCTGTGATTCAGAATCCAGTCACAGTGACACAGCCCAAAGAACATTTCTCTGACGATGGCTTTAGAAAAAGCATTTTGCCTAACCCCAGGTCAGACGAGAGCAGGACAAAGCAGTTCTCAGAACCTCAGAGAAGCCAACCCGTCCCAGACCTGGTGAGCCCCACACTGAATAGCAGCCTGCAGGTCAACGTCAGCAGGGCTTTCTGAAAGGCCTAGGGCAGATCTCTGAGATAGACAAGAGTCGGGGCTTCACCTGAGAAACCCAGCCCCACAAATACAGTTCCCTCAGGTTCTGAGCAAACAGAGATCACTGTTGGCCAATGGGATAATTAATGTGAGTGAATCAGGCCATGATGGCTCTACCAAGCCAGTTAAACTTGAGAGACAGAAGAGGAATCTATCAGTACTCACAGAAACATTTGCATGCCATTTCAAAGATAGTCAGTTATTATAAAAATATGAAGGAGCCTGAAAAAGAAACAGCAGGAACATCTTTCGCACGCATTTGTTTTGTTTGTTTTCAGGTAGGATTTTGTGTCTAGCAAAACTTGACCTTGACCATGAACTTGAAATCCTCCTGCCTCAGCCTGCTGAGTTCTGCACCTGCCAGTGTGTGTTTGCGGGTTTGTGTCACCAAACCCAGCATAACAAATACTTTAAAAGCAATAAAATAACCCTATCATTTACGTCCTTAATACCACTGTTTCCATAGTAACAGTGATGCCCAGAATCTAAAATTATTGTCAGCTCCTTGAGAAATCAGTAACAAATCATTTCTAAATCTTCCTCTAAATAGCTTGCCCTTGAAACATCTTAAATTCTGAGGTGTGGATTTGACGCCCCCTTCCCATCAGCCCTTTTGCTTCCTGTCACATGTCTCAGAGGTAACTGTGGTGACCATGTACAGGAAGTAATAAGGACCAGACAGATGGCTCAGTGGGTAGAAACACCTGCTGCAGACACCTGAGGTTTGAGCCTGATCCCTGGAACGGTCAGTGAAGAATTGACTCTTGAGAGTTATCCTCTGACCTCTACAAGTGTGCCATGCCATGTGTATACACAAGCGCGTACACACACACACACACATACACATACACAAACATGAAATAAATGAATGAATTAGAAACTTAAAAAAAAAGACGTGCTAACGCTTTAAGGAAATGTTATACGCTAATATCTAGGGAACACCGTGACACAAGGGAATTTGGGTCTGGTCGCTGTCCTTGAAGGCAACGTGGTTGCCTGGGAGACCTTTTAAAGCGGTGGCAGCCTGCTAGGGCGGCAGTCCTGTTTGTCTCCATGGTAACACAATGACCTTTGTCTGCCGCGTAAACTCAAAGAAGTCCAGTTCTCCAGCCGAGGAGCTGGTACACACGCAGAGAACGAAAGCTGGCCTGGAGGCTGGGGTGTCGCACCTGATATTTCACCAGAACACCCCTCGGGCCCCCATAATCTTCTGTCCCTTTAGATGTCTACAGGGTATTCAGCAATGTCACCCGCGTTTACAGCATCCTAGCTTCAAACACCTGTAACGCCAATCACAGTATTGGGGGGGGATGGGTCAGCAGAATCCCGAGTTCAAGGCCAGCGTAGCCTGTGATGCGAACAGACCGGGAGGGGCAGGTACCTGCTTCCCTAAAGGCTGTCATGGGGACAAACTAAGTAGTTCTGAGAAGGCTTTTGAAAGAGGGAGTGGGAAGTAGCCTGAAAGACGTGAGTGTTGCTTTTCCGGAAAACCCAAGGGAATGAGCGGGAGATGCCCGCGGAAGGACGGCCAGGCCAACCCGCCCGCCCTGTGTGAGAGGCACCCCTCTGCTCTCCCGCCTTCGCCCCCAGCCTCAGGTTCAGCTCACTCCTCGTCCAGGGTGATGAACACGCTGCTGCCAACCAGGAACCACACAACAAAAGGTGCACGCGTCTTTCATTCTGGAGAAACCTCTGTCCCTCAAACGGACTTACTGGGTTAACTGTCCACACGGCGGGGACCCTAACGCCACACAGCGAGGCAACTCCAGCAAAGCTGGTTTCCTTTCCAGAAAGAATGCAAATGCTGCATCCTCCTGTCGCCCGCCATTTTCCGTTGTTCCTATTCTGTCCCCTGAACGCGCCGCACCATCTCCTCTCTGCGAGATACCCACTGCAGATACTAAAGTGCTCCCTCTTCATAAACTAGACAATGTCTCCCCAGTTTTGAGAGGGGGCCTTGTTCTCTGTGGTTAGCCTATCGGGTTTTGCTTTGTCTTGTCAATATGATATAACGGCAGCCCATTTCTGCTGTGGTTTGAACGTGAAATGTCCCCATAGGCTCATGTGCTCAAACACTTGGCCCCCAGGTGGTGGCGCTGTTTGTTTGGAAGGTGGTGGACCCTTTGGAGGTGGACTCTCACTGTGGGCGGGCCTTGAGGTTTGATAGCCAGGCCACACTTCCTGTCTGCTCTCTGCTTCCTGTGGACACAGGGTGACCGACCAGTAGCCTCACACTTCTTTGGCCATGCCTTCTCTGCTGTGGTGGGCTGTGTCCCCTAGAACCGAAAGCCAGAACAAACCAGTTTCTGAGTCATTTCTTCTATGACACATTCCTAAGGAGAGAAACCTGGAATGTAAGCTCTCCTCCAGCCTAAGCCACTACTGACGTCTCTAGGCTGAACTCTGGTTTCAACAGTGCATACTTGGTGGGTCTTTCATGAACGAACCAGCCCTGCCCACACCTAGAGCGAAGTTCCATTCACTTAAGAATCTCTGTCGGGCACTGGATAGGAAAAGGGATCAGAGATGGGAAGGACGGGTCAGGACCAACTCTGCCCTCCTAGGACCTGCATGCCGAAGGTGGAGCCATGAAACCAGCACAAGCAACATGCAGCAAACAGGAGAGCAAGACAGAAACACTGCGGTGTGAAAACAGGAATTCGGAGGGGCTTTTGTGGCAGAGACAACGTCCTGGGGTCATGAGGGAACGGGAGATTAGAATGTGTGGAAGCTGGGGCCCTCCACACAGCTTACAGCCGTACCCGGTCACTGCCACCACCCGTGGAGTCAGGGGCTTTAGTCCAATTTTATAAATAAAACTGGAGCTCAGAGAAACAAAATAAGTTAGCCAAAATCACTCAGCTGGTAAAAATGATTTTCCTAAACAGATCTCTACCATAAACAAACAGGAAAGAAACGAAGCTTGTGGCCCAAGATTCAAGTCCAGAAAGAACTCATAGGCCTTGAGAGTGGGCTCTCTTGTGGTGGGGCATGAGCTTGGCAGGCACAAGGTCCTGGGTTTGATCTGCAGCAGCAGCACCACCACCACCACCACCACACATACACAGACACACAAAGACACACATACACACACACATGCACAGACACACACACTGCAAAAACATACCCAGCAGATTCTGCAAGACTGTGTGAGTTTTGTATATGAGTGTTTCGCTTGTATGGATGTCTGTGTATCCCTTGTGTGCCCTCTGTGACCCAAGAGGCCAAGGCACCAGTCTGCCTGGATCTGGAGTTACAGAGGGTGGTGAGACACCACATGAGTGCTGGGATCTGAACTCAGGCCCTCTGCAGGAGCAGCCAGCGCTCCTCACCGTGGAGCTCTTTGTCCAGCCCTTCCCATGCACCTCGACCTCACCTAATTCCGGGGATCTCATGAAGCAGAACCTCCTACTGTCCCCACCTTCCAGAGGCGGTGCTAGATTCTGAAAGCGGGGAGGAGCAGGGCACAGATTGGCACACACCAGGGCAGGGCGGGCAGGTGCCTCAGCTTCCCTTGGGTCAGGCAGGCTAGCACTGAGTCCCCGATAGTGCTGAGTGGGCTCTGGGGCTGACTCATGACCTGGATCCCACGCACCTGAGAAGCTCCTGCTTTCACCATGCTGAGAGCACCCAGCCCATCCTGGAGTAGCTTGTGTGAGTCATTCCTGGAAGAAACTTCGGAGGACGCACCAGGAACAGCAGCTTATGCGAAGCAGAATGGGACACCAGTTTGGGTTTCTGAGTCATGAACATGAACTTGAGCCACTGCAGTTGAGGGCCCTCTCCCTAGCTCCACGGGTTCTGGAACCATCTCCCCGGAAGAAGCGCGCCGCTGGGCAAGCAGGCTCATTCTCAGCATTTACCCCACAAGCTGGTCCCATAAAACGGTAAGGGAGCAAGCAGTTATGTTTGGCTCCTCTTCACTTTTTGTGGACAACTTCAAAGCAGCCCCGTAGTCGTAATTTTTTTCATACAATGTAAGCCGAACTGTATGTTGTCCCACAATCCAGCAGGAGTAGTTTTTAACTTTTGTTTTCCCATGAGCACTTATTTCCAAACGGAGGGGCTTGCAGGCAAAAAGGCAGGACCCTGCTTGGCGTCTGGCATAACGACCTGTTTTGCAAATTTCCGCAGTAGAGCCGAAATGACGACAGACTTAGAAGACTCTCGCATAGTGGGCAAGTGACCCTAAACTAAAAGAAGTGTTTAGTTGGTGCTCACAGACCCTGCTAAGCATCCCAAATGCTGTTGTAGCTTGTTACCCCTCACAGTCACAGGCCCTAGAGGCCGAGGAAGTCGTCAGTCCCATTTTACAGGGAGGAAAATGCACCCAGGGAAGAGTGAGGAAGGGACCCTCTTTCAGCAAAACTGCTTTGAGCTCCACACGAGGCCTCTGAAAGGCCACAGACAGACTCCCCACCGTTTATTAAAATCACAGCAGTCGGGTAGAAACAGGCCTGCAGCCAGCACTTGGAAAGCAGGTCCAGGTTGAGACGGTCTTACAGCAAGTTCCAATCCAGCCAAGGGCTACCCAGCAAGAAACCACTACGTCAGTCAACCCGGAGTCATATCGGCCTCTTGACTTCTGCACCTGCTTTTACTTATTGTTTTGTTTTATTCTTCTGTCTCCCACCTGCCTTAAGTAACAGCTTTTTACGATTATCATCTGTGAAGTAATGGCCGCGGTGTTCCAAGGAAGACACCTCCAAGTTTTACCCAAGAGCGAGAGAGGACAAATGAGGCTAAAACCCCAACAAGACTCACAAAACGAAAAGGAGCAAGTTGAGGTTACAGCGCTGGCCCGGAGTCCTGGGTTCGACCCCTGGCCCCGGAAGATAAAAGGATTTTTAACCCACCCGCCATCCCAAGCCCACTGCCGGCTTTACTACCGAGGCTAAAATGAGATTGCCAGGATGCCGCTCTCCCCGCCAGGATGCCGCTCTCCCCACACTCCCCAGACCAGGACTTGGCACTGGGACGCAGCAAGAGCCTCCTGCAGCATCCTGGAACCCGCTGCTTCTTTCAGAGAGGCGCAATCCGGAGCCGCCGGATGCAGAGGATGCAGACGCCGGGCGCGGGGGACTGTGCACACAGCTCACCCTCTGCAGGGCGCGGCCGGGACCCGACCTCGCACCCGGGACTCAGTCCCCGAGGCGCTGCACCTGAGCTGGGGCTGCGGGCACCCACCGCCTTGACCCACTGCCCTCAGATGAGACCCTGGTGTAGACATGCAGGAACTCCCACCCCACCCCCCCGCATGCAGTAGGGATCCTGGCTTCACTAAACGGGGACTCCCAGCATAGGGGCCGGCCCGCCATCGGGTATACCCCGGCGCTGTCGGGGTCCCTGAAAACCACTCACCTGGAGCCTCAGCCCTGGCTGCAGCCATCGCGAGCCCCGCAGCCCCGCGACTTCCATTTGCGATCCGGGCGCGGGCTCGGCCACCGAGGCTCCGGTAGCCCTCGCCGGCTCGGGGCGGGACCAGGCATCCGCACAGGCGGAGCTTCAGCCGACTGCCCCAGCCAACAGGCTGCAGCCGGCACGCCCTGGGAGGCGGTGGGACCGCTAGCGGGAGGTGGAGGAAAGAGGAGACCCCTGCGTGGTGCCAGGACAGGTCCGCGGGCCCGGCCCTTTTCTGGCTCTAGGCAAGCGCCTAGCTGTGGACTTTCGGGTGTGGGTGTCAACAGCTGTCACGGGGACTCCTGCAACAGTTAGGCACAAATGCAATCAAGGCTTCTTGGAGCGCTCCACCTCCCTTCATCCTACGCTACGCAGGTACCCCCAGCACACACTGGGTCCAGCCCGCTGGTCGCGAGATGGATTCCTTGGGTAGAGTCTGCCTAGGTAAAGCAACAGCAGTGAAAACGACAGGATTTGGCACAGGCCAGCTGGGTCTCCGAGGACTCAGCTGCAGACTCTTGCTGGGTCCAGAGGGCGGAAGGTGTGGCCCTTCTTAGCTACCACAGGGTGCAAGTGAATTCCCTGTCACACGCAGAGACACCGAATTATCAAAACTCTCTCAGTTTCCCAAATGTCAGCAACACGGTCCAGAAAGGACTCCCAGAGCCCGCGAGCTGTCCTAATACCCACCTAAGTCTCCACAACTTGCTTAGATTCCTACTGCCCAGACAAAATGCGTTGTTCAGAGAGGAACCAAGTCTCCACTTCCGCAGTGAGACAGAGCTGTGCCCCCTCTTTACCTCTGTCACTCAGCCACTCCCTCAGCCTCTGCTGGAGCTGAATGAGCACCCGTTCATTCCTGTTTCCTCAGTGCGGGAGAGGCTCAAGCGTGAACACTGTAGAACGGGAGCGAATCTTTACTAACTAAACACCTGATGGGATTAGGATTTATGCCACATAAAGAATCCAAAAGACAAAATGTCAAGAAATCAAAAAACCTAATTCAGGGGCTAGAGGCACAGAGGAAGCAAGATGAGAATGCCTCACTGATAAAAGGTACCAAGCCACATGGCTGACATAGACAAGAATAATGGGTTAAAGATGTAAGAATTAGTTAATAAGAAGCCTGAGCTAACAGGCCAAACAGCTTATAATTAATGTAGGCCTCTGTGTGTTTATTTGGGACTAAACGGCTGTGGGACCTGGTGGGACAGAAACCTCAGTCAACACACCCACATGGAGGTTTACAACCAGAACTCCAGGTTCAGAGAGATCAGCTCTCACCCTCTTCCGACCTCCACAGGCTCCCGTGGTACACATAAATAACACTCAGGCAAAACACTCACACACATAAAGACAAATCTTTTTTAAAAGCCCAAACAATAAGTGAGCTAATGAAATGAACAGCCGGTTCTCAAAAGATGGGGTACAAATGGCCAAGAAAAGTAGAAAAGTGCTCAGAAATGCAAATTCAAACTATGCTGAGATTTCAACTCGGCTAGAACAGAAGGATGTGGCAGAGGGGGCTCCAATACACTTCTGGTGGGAACGTAACTAGCCCAGCCACTGTGGGACTCAGCATAGCGAGGCTTTAAAACTAAAGCATCTAGACGACCAGGGGAACACGTCCCGGAGACGCATCCACCTTTACTGCAGCCCTCATGCAGCTCAGCGCTGCAGCCAGCCTGCGTCTGCCAACGAATGACTGGGTGATGTGGTAATATATGCACAGAGGAATTCTGTCCAACCACAGCGGACAGGATTGTGTCACATGCAGGAAAACCAGACAGAGATAACTGCCCTGGATGGATTGTCAGGCTCAGGAAAACACCGTGAAGCCTAGATTTCAGGACGTGTATCTACAGAGAGAACCTGTGCACAGGGACAAAGGGGACCGGTGGGGGAGGTGAGAGAGCAGTCCGGAGACTGGATGACAATGTTCTTAGGATACCCAGGACTATGCACAATGAACATACTCTAATTTAAAAAAAAAATGAGTGTTTTTGGCAAGGTCCTTCATAGATAACAGCACGGAGATTAATAGTGAGGTCTCCTCAGGAGTTCACGTCCGGCATGGTGCCCAGTGACCTTGAATCACTACAGGCCTCACTTCCTCGAAATGATGATTCACGCCTCTCAGAGCCTGAAAACAAAGGGAAGAATGCAGCCGCTCCCCCAAGAAAGCTGGAGGCTGTGGGCCCAGGCAAGGCCAGGGTCCTTGGGGCCACTGCGCTGTCTAGCGCCCCCAGCCCCACCAGTCAGGTTTACATCCCTACTTGTGTTTATGCCTGGAAGCTTTTTTTCTAGACAAGGATTTTTTTTTTATTTAAATAGCTGGGGTACACACTTGTAATCCTAGCACGTGGGGGTAGAGGTAGAAAGACTGAGTGGTGGACAAGGTTATCCTTGGCTACAAGGTCATTTGGAGGCCAGCCTGGGCTGAGACTGTCTCAGCCCCACAGGTGAGGGTGTGGGGAGGGCTGGGAATGTGATCTTCAGAACCCCACAAAGCCACCCTTGTGGTGCATGGATGCAACCCCAGTGCTGGAGAGCTGAAGGCTGGATGATGGGGGAGGGGAGCTCGAGGTCATCCTCGGCTGTGTTAGCTCAAGGCTAGCCCAGGCTGCATGAGAGCCTATCTTAAGGACAGAAAGGTACTTTCTCGTTTCTAGCCAGTAGTATCCCTTACTTTCCCCTTGGGAAATTTTTGAGAAAATAGTTTTAAAACTCAATTTACAGAATCTTGGCTAGTTCTTTCTGGTCAACATGTGTTGGTCCTGAGCTCAGAGCCCAAGAATGACCTTGTGTGGCAGGAAGCCTTGCTCACCCAAGTGGGCAGTATTCTGCCTCACTGCTAAAGATCCTGTATGATCAACTTCCCGAGTAAAGCTCGTGTTATTTTGCCCACCTGGGAAGGAGTCCTCTTTACAACCATGACTGGGAGGGCTTTCCCAACAGCTAGGATCAAACAACAGCATAGTTAATCACACCTAAGATACTGTCCAAGGTTCATAAAAATAACAAATAGCCAATTTTGAGCTCTCAAGAGGTTGAAGAGAAATAACTCTACCGATAATACTTTGGAGTGAGAGAACACCATTGGAGAAATGGAAGCTCAAATCTTCATCGTGTCTAGATTGACAGACCCAATATGGGCTTCTGGGATAAACAAGGATGGGCTTGGGTTTGGCCTCAGACAGGGAGGTGTGGCAGAGAAGACGCTGGGAGAAAAATATGGTCCAGGGAGAGGGAGAGAAACAGGGATGCAGGATTGGAGGAAGGCCTCTTCAGAGGGCAGTTAGGAAGTTCTACTGGGTAGTTTGAACCTAAACAACTTCAGCAAAGCGTCATTCTGTTTTTCAGTGTTTTTTGGAGTTGTCTCTATTAAAAGCCCATTTTGAAGCAGATTGTCTTTACGAAGTAGGGCCCACAGTGTGGGGCTCTGTGGTGCTTTGGTCTTCACCTAACTGCGCACAGCCTGTGAATTTCTGTAGTTGCTCTCACAGTAACCAACAAGGAACAGATCACACTCTGGAGAGTTTACTGGTAGCCTTTCTAGACTCGCTCAGTAACCCCACATCCTCTCAGGAGAGCCTGGTCTCAGGGTGAAAACTACCAAGTTCTTCCCAGTAAGTCCCATCTGCTCCAGGATGCAGGGCTTCGTTATAAATGGAGATTTTCACCGGGCGGTGGTGGTGCACGCCTTTAATCCCAGCACTTGTGTCAGGAGCCATTTCCCCCCAAAATTATTACAGGAACCATCGCCCTGGAGAGTCTGCAGAGAACCCCACACCCCCAATTGTATTGAGAACTGTTCTATTGACAGAGCCTACCCCACACCCAATTATCTGTTAATAGAGAGCTATCTGTTAGCAGAACCGGCACCACATTCCAAACTATCTAGAGAACTAGGTGTGTCAACTCGTGACTTCCTGGCAGAGGAATCGTGACCTGACCTATTGTAACCTCTTGGCCTACGTGACCGACATGGACCACGCGGCAAGAGCCCAGGCTCCTGTCCCCCCCACAAATTCCTCATCCTATATAAGCTGTAACCATACTCTAATAAACGGAGGCTTTGACAAGAACCCCGCTTGGCCTTCTTCCTCTCTCTCGCCCATATCTTCCAGATAGCGCCTCTCCGGGACCCTGGAATTACTGAACTGCCAGGCGGGTTACACCCCTAGACTGAGCTCTCTACAAGAGCTAGTTCCAGGACAGGCTCCAAAACCACAGAGAAACACTGTCTTGAAAAACCAAAAAAAAAAAAAAAAATGGAGATTTTCTATATCTAGATTATGGGTAGAGGAAGGAGAGATTATTTCTCCAAGCAAGAGAACAATAAAATCCTGAAAAAAAAAAACATAGTCAGGTATAGATCGGACAAGAATGAGACAGTCTGGCTGATGACATGGCTCAGGGGATAAGAGCAACCCCGGCTCTTCCTGAGGACAGAAGTTAAGTTCTCAGAAGCCACCCTGGGCAGTTCATAACCACCTGTGAACTTCCGACTCCTCTTCTTATCTCTGAGGACATTGTACAAACCCACAATACAAATTGTAAGTTTTTCCTTTTAAAAGAATGAGGGAATCATCAAAAGGGCTTTGTGTGTGTGTGCGCACAAGAGAGAGAGAGAGAGAGAGAGAGAGAGAGAGAGAGAGAGAGAGAGAATGTGTATGTACACTTGAATTAATACTTTTCTAGGGTTTGGATACTCTGGAAGCAGTCATGGTGTTTTGCTCAAGACAATACTCTACCAGCAAGACCAAGTACAAAGAGAGCTAGGCCCAACAGTATTTGTCCTAGTGGAGGGACTTAACAGTTGTTTTTGATTACAGACGTTTCAATGCAAAGGTTAGTGAATACCCTCCTTCCTAATTTAGACACAGCACCCGAGTCGACAGTAGTTGGGCCATGCACTCCTGACTGGGTCGAGGAATTAAGCAGGAACTTCATATTTCTTCATGATCATTTTAGAGGGAATGAGCCTTCCTTGGAGAGCGGCAGCTGGGAAGACAGAAGCACACGAGAAAATATGATGTACTCCAGGGACTCCCCAGAGTGCA